AATCAAATAAAGTATTTAGGAAAGAAAAAGTAAAAAGCAATGGGTAAAACAAGACTTTTAGAATGAGAGCCAAGAAAAGGTGGGAGTGAAGCTGCAATTCACTATGTAAGAATGTATATAATAATGATGAAGAAGGTAATACAGATGAAAATCTGAAATAAGTATTGCTCCACTTTCCAGTGGTCATTCAGATATAACATTGGAATATTTCAGTTCTAACTCAGTGCATTTTTTCCAAGGATCATACAGCAGAAAATGAGCAGTGACATGTCTGATCATATTTCATTAGTTTGCATGTTATTACTTCACACATATATACTAAGTTCTATATGCCAGTCTCAATTCTTTCAGAAATTATCTATTCACACTCTCAGTGGCCCCATGGGGTAGCTGTTATTGTCTCCATTTCCTGCTGGGGAAATGGAGGTGCAGGCATGTGGACTTGCCTCAAGGCCATACAATGAAACAGAGTAAGAAAAAAAAACCCTTGTCTCCCTGATCTCTAGAACTTCTAATAACAAGCTTCTGCTCTTTACACAGCACAATTTGAAATGTGGATTCTGTACATTCATGGATCTTTCTTTACTGAAAGAACCCCCTCATTAAATCTAGGAACACAACATTGTAACATTTTGATGTTCTTCCATTTGTGGCCTGGAAAAGCTCTGATTTCTTTGCCAGAACCAGCACCAATAAGGTAGCTCCTCCTCTCGACACAGTGCCAAGAAAACACTGCTGAATAGTCTTTGAGCAACAGCTCTCTGCAAAGCTCATTGATACGTTTATCTGTTCCTTCTTTCTCTGGAATAAAATAGAAATCACAGTGCAGGCCTGGGAAAAAAAAAAAGGCACATTTTCTTCTTGTCATTTGAATTTCGTCGAGTTTTTGGCAACTTAAAAGTACTTAGTATCTGGTTTCCTACAAATATGTTTCATAAACTTTGCAAATTTTGACTGTTCCAGAAGGCAGGATGAAGTGGGTATTTGGGCCAGTTTCTGAGCTCTTGAAAAATCACAAAGCTGCTAAGGCAGGTTCATATTTCAGCATCTTCCTTTATTGTAATATTCTCATATTTTTCCAGAAAGAAGAAAACACACACAAGTAGGTCATCCCATGTATAAGGAACTGTAATTTGACATGATACACTCACACAACTCAGGTGTTGTAGGCCAGTTGCTACCATAGCTTGGACATTTTCTCTGCTTTCTGCAGCTGGTATTGGGTTCTCCAAACTACAAAATTACAAAAATCTCCTCTGCAAAGAGCTCTTGGTCAGATCCTGCTCCCCAGAGAGGATCTGGACATGCCACCTGGTCTAGCAGCATATGCTTGAACAAGTTAGTAAAGAAACAATTCTAAAAGGGAAGTAAGCTGTGCTGGGAAATTCAGAGTGAGGTAGCAACAAGAATACCACTCAGTGACTTAAAATCTAAGCTTTGTTTGCTAAGGGAGATGATTTAGTGGGTGGCTATAATTTTCTAGCTGTTAAACACAAACATACACACACAGGTAATCCAGCTGAAAACTCCATTTGTGTCTGTGAGTGGTAGGGCAGCAAGCCTGAATTGAGCAGGGTTTCTGTAGCAAGGCTGCCAGGTTGCCATGTGCAGGAGCTGCCTCACAGCTACTTCCAGCTAACTTTGATATGATATGGATGTGAAAAGCCCAGGATGCTCCAGAATCCTCAGCTGTCAAAACCAGTCAGATCCCCAACAGAGATTGTGACATACCTGCTCAAACAGATTTGAGAAAGAGCAACACACCCACAACAGGGACACACACACCTGAGGGATTGTGGTTTGTGGAAAACCCACATCAGAGGAGAGGAAAATGAACCAAATGCATGGATTGGCAGAGAAAAACCACTGCATTCCAACCTCAGCCTCCTGCACTGCCCACCACATCCTTGGAGGGACTGGGAGAGATTGACTGTAATGCACGGCAAAAGCAAAGTAAGTTGGGACCAGGAGGGGTGGAAGTTGTGTTGGAAATTGAGTTGGGAGGAAGAGGGAAAAAAAGGTGTTTACCTAAATATTTGTTTAATTGTCTCATTTTTCTTTTTTTTTTTTTTTCTCAAAGGCCAAGTCAGTCATCAAAAATTTGCTCTAGTTGGTGATAAATTAAATTCTCATAGTCAAGACTGTTTTGGCCATGACAAGTGCCCTTACTCTACCTGGTGAAACTGTCCAAGAGCAACCTGGTGGCACATCTTGTATATCTACCAGTTCCAACTCAAGTTTAGCTTTCTGTGTGATGGGGTTCCTGCCCTCAGCAACAATTGTTTTGATGCCTAATGGAGGTGGCCAGAAAGTCACAAATTTCTTCATTTTCAGATCAGGCAAGTCTACTTTAGATTTCTCCACATGTTAATTAATGGTCATTTCTGGTGTCACTAATATGACACCATATTAGTGTTGTTATAAGGTTGTTATGACTTCCTCTGTGTTCCTTCCTAATCTGTACCTGAAATATTTGGAACAGCAAGGATGTAGTTCAGAGCCTTGGCTGAGCTTTCCCCCAACTGTTTGTTTTCCTTAGGACTTACCCAGATTGAGGTCTCATTTTGTCCAAGTGATAGCTCTGGGCAAGTTCCATCAGACAAGCCTAACTTCCATTTCCAAAGGATCCTGAAGCAATCTACAAAGATTGATACTAAAATGATCATCCTGTTTATAGAAAGGCAGCTGTTCTTTGAGCTGCAGAAAACAATCACATATCAGCTACCTACAGGGTAGAAAAACCATTAAAACATCAGGGCTCTGAAGCAGGAGAGGGGGATACTGTCTGCTGGAACTGGATCAATACTTGCAGAAATACTGAAGATAACTCACTCATAGTTTGAAAATTCTGTTGTTTCCAGATGGCATGGTTTTGATTGGAAAAATTAAAGAAGTAAGCCACACATAATGTGGGAGTTTTGAAAGCAGTAAAAATGAAAGAATAACTTACATAAGGAAATGTCCTGGGGTGCCTATGATACTGGTATCCCAAATCATCTGGTTTATGTTATATATTAAGTTCTGCACCTTTAAGACTGGCTTTGAGAGCAAGAGAGGGGGAAGAAGAAGCACGCAGTTTGTGTTGAAAGAAAACATCACTCCCACACATCTCGCTTCTGGACTGTGGTGTCTGCAGCACGGACAGACAGTGGGACAGAGCTTCTCTCTGGCTTTCAGTTCATTTTAGCTAGCTGAGGCAGTTTTCTGGACTTTTTTTTTTCTTTTTTTCCTGGATCTGTGCAAACCTGCTCTAGACTGAAAAACACCCAGCCAAACCCCAGGAGCTCACATCTTTGGCCCACCGGGGCCTGGGCCTTGGCACTTTCCAGTGCCGAAAGGACTGATAAGAACCTGAGTGAGCCGAGCTACACCACATGAAAAGGATTTTTCTTCCTAGATTTGCCATCCCATCGAACAGCAAGAGGTTTTATTGTTTAATATTATTCAATTTCTGTTAAAAAACCAGCTTTTTCCAGTTCTCTCCAAGGAAATTATTTTTCCCAGACCAGTTGGGGGGAGGGGTCATTTGAATTTTTTTTCCCTTGGGGCAACCCCCATTTGGAGTTTTTCTCCCAAATTTTCCCTAAACTAGGACAGGAAAGAGCGGTGGTTACAATTTGGAGATAGTGTGTTTTCTGTGCAGTTTTGTACTGCCTCCTAAAAAGTACAGAAAAAGGGATGGGTTGAACTAGTCTAACCTAGTGTGAGACAGAAAACCCCCAGTTTTTCTGGTTTTTCACTTTCAACAACTATCATAAACCTTTTCTATTAAGAACTCATGTCTTAGTGAAAAGACTCAAATAATCACTGCTTACATAAGATATTAATTTGTCTTCCTGGTGGGGTGTAGGAGCTGTGAATCTCCAAAGTGTGGAACAGAGATCAAAAAGTCATCAGATGGGACACGATCAATAATGTTAGTGCAGAACCCAAGACCACAACATTAAGTAAGATTTACAGCGTAAAGGAGAATAACTGTATCCTTCCAGCTGGATAACTATGACAAAATAACTAACACACTCCTCTGGAGCAAGAAATATCAAGAACCTTTAAAGGTTAGGAAAGAGTATCAAAGGTGCCTTAAGAGTTTACACTAGGAGAAAAATATTAGCTGCTTGTTTTTGCTTTCACTGGAATTACAGAAAATCTTCAGTTTGGGTTTTATTAGAGCATGCTCTGCATCTAAAATCTGAGACAAGATTCTGCTCTAGACTGCATTCCTGGCACTGAGATTGGTAGAGTTGCACAGTAACGTCTTGTCTAGTCTGTAAACACCAGCTTAAAATTTCTCTCCTTCTCTGGCATCAAAGCAAGTAATTTGATAATATAAGGTTTCCTTTAAGCATTTATTTTTTCCCTGGAGAATGTAGCACTAATCAAATGCATTTCATCAAAACACTTGGGAATTTGAAAGAAAAAACAAACAACAAGCAGAACACCAAAATTAATTAGCAGGTCTGACTCACCTTGCTTTATTTGATGTCAACTGACAAGACTCCAGTGTGGAAGTAATGAAAGAAAAATTTAGAAGGAATTTAAATTAATTGAAAATGTCAAAATGCACATCTGCAGAAACATTTCATTTATTTGGAAGTTTATTTCAAGCATATTACTTGCTGCTAGATAATTACTGTTGCAAAGTACATTTTAATGGTTCAAAGGGCTAAGAGTTGCCAGATATGGCAGCATCTGCTCCAGTAGGAAGTTGATAAGACAGGGTTGTTTTTACACACATGATTTCTTCTGCTTTGCAAACTAGCTGCATAAAATTGTACCTATTCTTAAAAGTTCTCAGCTGAAAGTCAGCTGAAAGTTCCACCCCAAACCACAATAGTGGAATTAATGGATATTTCACCCCTCTAATACCCAAAATGCTGGCAATACAAAAGAAGTCAGATCACAGTGAAAAATTCCCTTCTTCCTCTGTGATTAATATTACTAAACAGAATAGCTAATAATAAACAGAATAAACTAGAGATAAAATTAGTTAAAAAACACTGTTTATCTGATCTTGTTTATTTCTCCAGTTTATTTTTTCTGACACTGTGTACACAGCAGAACTTCTTTCAAATTGTATAAAATACCATGAGAAAAATCTTACTCATTTAACTCCCTGAAGGCAGTATAGAACAGACAGCTAACAGGGTTTTCACCAAGACAAAAAACAAGGCAGATATATTTAACATTCTCTCTCTGTTTTTCTGATGAACAGTTCAGCAGTGCACATTGCCTTTGAAAGAAAGCTGTGCTATAATATTTATTTTTTCTTAAAATGTGTACACAACTGTTTTCATTCCATAGCCCAAATAATTTTCCACATTTCCAGTACTGCAAGTATAGTTTAGAAATCTAATAGTTGATTATGGAAAAGTCACAAACTAGCAGAAGTAACACAGTACTATTTTTTTGGTGCCTCAGACTCTGTAGGGAGAACAGGACAAAAATTCCATGTGCGGAGAAAAGACTTGTATATTCATGAGGAGTAATCATTCATACTAAACAGAAGAGTGCTCCTCAGAGGCTGAAACAACACCCCGGGTGAGAGGAATTAAAAAGAAAAGGATCCTTCCTGGTTTGCTTCACATTCTTCTAGCAAGAAATATTTGGAGCACCTCTCCTGTTCTTCTCACGTGCTGTGTTGGGTTTTGTAATTCAAAGTGAATAGCTCTTATAGGAAACTACTGAACACAAACAAGTAACTTTTCAAATTGATTCTGAACAGGTAACAATTTTAAAATAACTAAGGTATGATGAGAATTAAACATTCTTTAAGATTACTGTGAAGAATGCAGGATAATACTAAGCTACTATTGCATAACTTTAATTAACCTTACATGTTTTTCAACACCAAAGGGGTGCTAAAGATGAAATTTTTAGAAATATTCATTAAGCAACAACTTTTTTGTCATCTCACATCTCCTGGGTGTTACACTAGCATCTCAATTTCATTGGTAAAAAACCAGCTTTATTTCTGTAACTTACATACTTCTTAATCTAATTCTAGTAACTTATTTTGTGACTGCTTAGGACAATGAACCTAACAACATAATTATTAGTATTTTAAGAAATACTGTCATAAGATACCACTAAAATACCAATAGGTTGTCCCTAAAAAGTCATCACAGTTGTCCTGTCATGCCGTCAAGGTGTTGCTGCACAGCACAGGACATTGTGTGATTGTGGCCTACTTGTCACAAAAATTGGAACTATATCTATCTGCTGCATCCCATGGGAAGAAGTGCTGGATGAGGGGTCTGGCAGGACTTCTTTAAGAAGAGAGCTGTTCTGGAGGAAACTCTGAGCAGGGGCCAAACAGACCACTCAGGGGTGATGCAGGGCACTTGAACCATGGCCAAGGCAGGCCTTAGGACAAAGGGACTGGAAGATGAAGCGCTTCACTCATTTGGCTACAAAAAAAAGTAAATTTGTCAGTCCTTAATCCCTTGGGGTAGGCAACAGTTCCATGGCTGTGGCTGTAATTTTCTGCTGCAGTGTTACTGCAAAGTATTTCAACCCCTGCTCTTCTGAGTCTGTTCCTGCCACCAGCTTCCTTTTGCCTTTTTATAAATCAATGAATGCACTATCCAATAATAATAGGGAGGAAAACAGAAAAAGTCACTACTGAAGAAATTGTTAGAAGCAATTCACATTTATTTTCAGCTCAGCAAGGCAGTAGGTTCACTCCTTCACAGCTATTTACACAGCAATGTAACACTAGAGGCCATACTCCAGTTTTCTCCAGATACAACATAAACCACAGAAGAAATTAGGTTAGAAAGGTCCAGTGGACATCATCTATATCACTTGCAAAAACAGACCAACTTCAAACTTCAGGCTAGCTTTCATCCTTGGTGCATGTCACCAGTGTCACAAAAGAGGTAAATAAACTCAGAGCTCACAGATTACAAGCTCACCTCTCCCTAGGATTTCAAAACAGCAGTGACAGTGCTCAAATACCTCTGAAAATGACTGAGTGACTCAGAGAAATCTCTCCTCCCCCTTCTCTACCACTCTGATGACTGTCTGTCACTAGGTAAGGGCTATGAGTGTGAACATCACCAGAGTGGTCCTGAATGGAGACAGGAGCAGCATTCAGACCTCCTGTGGCAGCTGCATTCATTCCTTGAGGAGTAGCAGGTGGCACAGGAGCAAGGAGCACAGCTGCTCTCTGAGAAACTTCACAGGAATCAGGCCTTAGCACAGCTCTCCAAAGAATGCTTCCTAAGACAAGGTCCATAGAGGTCACTGAGCAGATTTCTCACAGATCCATGGGGCAGGGACTTGACAGCTGGAAGCATAGTTGGCACCATTCAGCAGAACAGCGCAGTTCTGTTCAGGGCTGGTGGACTTGACCCTGTGGGAGACAGAGCACACAAGCAGGGTGACATTAGAGAGGGGTCCCCACTTTGGCAAAGGGAAGAACATTTCACAGCTTTAGAGCGAAGGGACCAGCTACAGGTCAGACTTCATGAGCTGATGGCAGGGAGGATCCATCCTGGGATACAGGTGGTCTGGAAGTGGCACTTATAATACCTGGAGCTCAATGTGAGACTTGCAGTTTGCCAGTCTCACATTGGGCTCTCCATTTCCCATCACTAAAAAGCAAAATGTTCTATTCCACAAGGGATTTTTTGCTGGTTTACTAAAGGCATTTGGGACAGAAAGTATAAAGTATCCCAATTGAAGTATCCAGTTAAAATCATCTGTATGGGTATGTGAAAGGTGGAAGCCTCTGCTTCATTAAGGTTATCCAATCAAGGATTTGTTCAGTGCAAAAGATGATAATGAGGACAAAACGATGAAACAGAAATCCACAGACACAAACATTCAAGAAATAAAAGACAAAACTGCAAAGACCAAAAGTCTTCAGCTTCTAATCGATGTGCCATAAAAAACCTCCAGTCACAGCTTTGGACAGAGGCACCTTGGGCTTTGTAACAGATGTGAAAGGTGAGGTGAAAGTGGAACTGGAAGATTTGAGTACATTCAAGGTGGGCCTGTGTGGCTGTGCAAAACTTGTTGAGGAACTTTAAGGGGACAAGGAGGAAAGAGAGGGGATGAGGTAAAGCACGGGATGGGTCTGATTCTCTGGGAGCAGCTGATGATTACAGGCATGATCACTGTCACAGTTTTGCTTGCATGTGTGCCTGTATACATATTTGTCCCGGGACACAAAACAAGTGGGACCTACTGGCAGGAATGCAGCAGTTGTGTCCATTAGCCTGGGATAGAGACTCCCAGGTCTACAGGCACCCAGCTGGGCCCTGGTAGCTTGGCAGGAAGAAGCCCTTAGCTACTAGAGCCTATGACTGCTCTGAACTTCCCTTAGCAGCTGTGTCCATTGCTAGTTGACTTCTGCCCAATACCATGAGACTTCTCATGTCAGAGAGGGGAAGGATCTCAAGCATTTTATCTAAAAGTACAAAGGAAACACCATACTCAATTTTCACTGCTCAGTTTTGAGCCATCTTCCCAGGCCCAGTTCCCATCAGTGTTCCTCTGCAAACCAATCCAGTGGGATTTGCTGTGTAGTATCTGGAAGAAGTCCTAAGAGGGATGGAAAGACAGAGAGATCAGTAGACTCAAAGAAACCCAGTCAAGTCCTGGGTCTTGAAGGGTAGAGAAAGAAGCAGTGTGTGACAGAGGAAATTTTGGGGCCATTTCTGAATGTGAACACCTATTCCCTTCCTTCCTTCAGAGACCTGCTTTGTGAGACTCAGCATTTCAGAGTGCCAGGCAGCTTCCCCAGCTGTGGGTTTTGAAGACTGAACTCATGACAAACAAAACTTAGCTGAGTCAGGTAGAAAGAAGCAAGTCCCTCTTGCAAAGTGTCTAAGGGAAAGCCTTGTCTTTGCCAGTGCAGGGTGGTGGTGGGTGGGTCCCAGGAGCCTTTTACGCTCTCCCTTCCTCCCAGAGGGAAGGAACTACCATAACAGTACCAGGGACTTGCTCCCACTTCATCCTGCCCTTACCTCTGCAAAGGCACCCACCATTTCACAGGTATTGCTGATCACCAGGAGATGAGCTCCCTCTGCCCAGCAGGATTCCTGGCTGGAGTTCTAGTCCTTCTCCTTGGAGAAGGAGTAACAACTGCCTCTGTAGGTCACTCACTGCTCAGGGCAGCATGGACATGGACAGCCTGAAAAAGAATCATATATGTCTCCTCCCATTTGTAGTCATGTCTAGTTCCTTACAAACTCGTTTCCCAAATGTGTTCTTTCAGAAATTTTTTCATTTATTCAGAAAATATTCATTTACAGTAATGCCATCCCTGGAGCTCTTCTGAGGCTTGCAAAGAATCAGAGTCTCTGAAGGAATCTGTGAAGGACATCCATTTTCCAGATGGAAATAGGTATGAGAGTAAATATTTTTTTAAAGAGAAGACCTCCACATTCTTCTTGGACCAATGAGCAGATTTCAAGAGCTCTGCTGTGATCCCTGATTAAGTTCTAAATTCAAATTAAGTATTTTCAGTGAAGGAGATTTACATACCTTTGGTAATAAAATGCCCTGTTATTCCCAGAAATACCAAGAAGAGGATCCCTAGAATCACTGCAATAATCCAGTAGGTAGAAAATCAAACAGGAAAACCTAACAAGAAAGAAAACATAAATGTGAGGAATGTGAGGTTTCCTTAATGGGACCAGCTCTAAAAATACAATTCATGTTAAACTGCAGTGTCAGTTTACCTCAAGCCTGCACTCATGTCAGAGTCCAACGGCATCTGACAAGGTTCTTTTCGATATTCCACACATTGATAATTTAACAGTTAATAACAAATTTGCTTGTTTGAAGACACGTGATGTTTCATGAGATTCTGATTTAGCAGAATGAACCACAGCTATGTGTTGGAAGCACAACACAAGTGCAAACTAATTGTCCTGGGGTGACTTTATGATGCTTGTATCCTCAATCACTTTGTTTATGGTACATATTAAGTTCTGCATCTTTAAGACTGGCTCTGAGAGCAAAGAGGGGGAAGAAGAAGCCACAGTTTGTGTTGAGAAAGAGCACTCACTGCCCCGAATCCTGCTCCTGGACTGTTTTGTCTGCAGCATGGACAGACAGCGAGACAGAGCTCTCTCCTTTCCTTTCAGTTAGTTTTTAGCTAGCTGAGGCAGGGAAGTTCCCCAGACTGTTTTTTTCTTTTTCTTGGATCTGTTCAAACCTGCTCTGGACTGAAAACTCAGAAAAACCAGGAGCTCACGCCTGTGGCCCACCGAGGCCTGGGCCTCGGCACTTTCCAGCGCTGGAGGGATTGGTAAGAGACTGAGTGAGCCAAGCTACACCCCATGAAAAGGATTTTTTCTGGATTTGCCATTTCATCAAACAGCAAGAGGTTTTATTGTTTAATATTATTCAATTTATGTTAAATAAACAGTTTTTTTCCACTTTTCTCCAAGGAAATATTTTTCCTGAACCCATTGAGGGACAGGGCACTTGAATTTCTTTTCTGGAGGGACCCCATTCGGAAGTTCCCTCTCAAATTTGCCCTAAACCAGGACACTAACAAAATGTAGCAATATCAATACAGACATGAATCACAATACAAATGTGATTCTCACTGGCAGAATTTGTGATATGCTCACCAATCCAATCCTGGCTGGCACCAAGAAGAAATATGTATCAGGTTGAGCAGTATGTACACTGTCCCCATGCTGGTCTAACTAAGTTAACTTAGAAAGACACTTACACTCTTTTGATTAACTCATGAACAAAAATTTACACAGCTAGCTGATATAATCAGCTGATCCACCCAACTGATGCAAATATTTATCAAAAAAATTCAGTCACAGCAAAATTCATCAGTACATTGCACTTTCCTTTGAGACTCACTCCCTTGAGACTTACCCCATTATAAGGGCTTATTGATCAGTCACAACTCAGGTTTCCATCTGAAGAGAAGTCCAAATATCATGAGTGTTTTGATACAGCATCAACAGAAGTTCTTAGATCACTGCTGGAGCTGCAAGTCTCCAATTTTAACCTATTTAAATATACATACATTTATATATATATATACCCCAATATATAAACCAATTTTTAACTTGAACTGCCCATCCTTCCCAGTCTCAAACAGCAGGACAGAAAGGAATAACCTGGAGTCTTTTCTCGTGACCAATTATCGGTCACTGCTGAGAATTGACAGTAGTTTAGGCCATTGAAAAGTAGGATCCTACCTTAAAGTGTAAAAGCAGAGCTCTCTGAGTTCTCTTTGTTTCCTGGCTGTGAGGGGTGGCGGAGCTCCAGGCCTCCCGTTCGGCGGAGCTCCAGGCCTCCCGTTCCCTGCCCAGGCCATGCGGCCGGGCGGGGATGGGGCCGGGCCTGCCCCGTCTCCCGGCCGGGAGATGGGGGGCCTGGGGAAGGTTTTCCTCGGGCCCGGGTTGGGCCGAGCCGAGCCCGATCTATGGCTTGGCTGCAGGTTTTGCTGTAACTACATTCACTAGAAACTGCCGAGTGAAGAAGGAGAGAGGCTCTGGACCTACAGCAAGCAGAGACAGCCACACTCTCCAGAGCAGCTATGAAGAACCTTCCATCGCAGACAGCTCCAGCTCCTGTTCGGCAGAGATCACCGAACCCCTACAAAAGCCTGGGCAAGATTTTAACTTTTTCATTACCCAGATGAGACTTGCAGATTAATCTTTTTATCCAGAGAGAGAGAAAGAGAGTGATCAACATGAAAAGAGACTTTATAAACTACCAGTGACAGGAAAGAAAAGAAGCTTCAGAAAAGGTAGAGAATTAAGAAGATGCTTTAATTAAGCTGAAATATCTCTCTGTTAAAACTATGGAAATGGACATTAAGGTCTTGAAAACACTCCTTTAATTCATGACAGTATCTAGGGAGGAATAAAGTGTTCAAAGTGTAAATTTGAGTAAAAAGTAGAGTAATTATAGTATAGTGAAGTGCTGGGAGATTTGAAGCCTTGAGAGGGAATGAGAAAACTGTTTTCTGGTGAAGCTCACAGAAACAGATGAAGAAGACTTTTTTTGCCTTTGAATAACTTATCCTTAAAAATGCTATCCCTAGGGTCATGACCCATACACACCTCAGAGTGATGTGAAAATGGGAGGAGTGGGCTCTGATAAATTAACAGGAAGAAACTTCTGTTTCTCTACAAAGACTGGTGAAAAGACTGTAGCAAGAATTGGGACTGTTTTAACCATCAAAGTTCCAGAGTTTTTGTCTCTGTTGTCATGTGAACAAGGGAATAGTGGGTAGAGAGGGGATGAAAAGGTTTTTCTGGAAGTTTATTCTGGTGTTCTTATTATTGTAGTTTGTCAATTAACTCTCTTTTTTTTCCCTTTTAAGTTGTATGCCTGTTTTGCTCTTGTTCTAATCCATATCTCACAGCAAGAAGTAAGTAATTTTCTTAGTTATTGGTTTAAAACCACGACACCCTATCACATGCTTTTAAGTGTTGCTTTTTTTTACTTTGCTTTACTTGGAATTTAGAAGTCCTATCTGCCACAAAGCCTGGATCTGGATTTCCCTGAGGGTCAGTTGAGCTTTCCTCAGAGCACTTTGGAATCATTTCTAATGACAGAGCATGTCATTAGCAGAAAAGTAATATACATAAGGAATGATGTCATACATCAGCTTTTTGGAATACAAAAAGGTTTAAGCAATGACAATAACTCACAAAGAGGTCAATCTTCTGTGATTAAACTGTTGCTCTGATGGATGCTCCATAAATCATTGTTAGACAGGGAAACTTGCTTTGATAGGGGAGTGAAGTCATTCAGCATTCTTCACATGTAAGATATATATGAAAGCAATTTAGGCTTGACTAAGATGAAAACAGTGAGGAATTAAATTTCCTCATGTAGCACACAGGTAATTCTAGTTGGATAATTTACAGATTGCATTTCCTGCTTTCACTGCAAGCACTGCCAATGAAGGCAATGCAGGTGCATTTGATCCATATCAACATCCTTAATTATACCAATTTGTTTATATCAACAACACAGCAAAACACAAGAGTTTGAGAACTGGGACAAGAAAGTTGAGAGGGGGTTACCTTAACTCAAGAAGAGGAAGTTGAAATGTAACAGTAGAATAGGTGGTGCCTCTGTCTTATTTCCTTTACATGACTCTGCAGGGTGACAAAGCAACCATTACAATCAGACTGAAACAAGGCAACTGCGGCATGAGGAATAAATACTGTGGTGACCCACACAGAAAACTTGAATTCTTCCCCTCCAGAACAAATCTCTACCATTTCAGATTTGTAGTGGCAACCATGGCAACATGTTCCTGCCATAGTTGCACCAAACTCTTTTTGAGCTATTTTTAATGTCATGTTCATGGAGCAAGAGAATATATTGAAAAGGTTCAATTTGTAGAATCCATTACAAAAATCATACGCTTGTACTGCCAGTCCTTTTCCACAACAACAATTTCATTGACCTGTCCAACAGTATCAGCCTTTTCACTCAACTCTTTGATTTGTGTAGAAAAGAGTTGCTAATGTTTGCTTAAGAATTGGTCACAACCTCACCTCGGACAGAAAACAAACTATAGTACCTTCAGAACAGGAGACTTCACAACTCATTAATTTTGTTAATTCTGAGAATTATTAAAAATCTGAAAACATAATTCTATTAAAATTAGTGTGATTATTTTTTCTTTTTAAGCTACCAGGAACATATATATTTAATTTTCAAACATATAAATATTTTCTACCCCTTTTCGTAATTTCCTTTCCCTTCTTTTTCTTATCCTCCATCTATTTTTAAGAAGACAGAGAAGAATTGGCCAGGGTCATAAAGACTGGCAGTAATCATGAGATGCTGGAGTTTCTGCAAAGAAGGGAAAAATACAAAAAGAAAATCACAATCAAGCCTGGACTTAGGGAGAACAGACTTTGGTCTGACTGGGAGTCTGTGTTCATGGGAGAAATTCTGTGGCAGAGAGTCCTGTAGAGAAGAGAGGCTCAGGAGAGGACTGGTTTTCAAGGATCAGCTCCTCTGAACTCAACAATGGTCCATCCCAAAAAAGCAAGATACAAAACAAAGGTGGAAGCAAATGTCTTCAAGAAGACAGAACAGTCAAGCTGACATGAGGAACTGGCATTTTTAAATAAATTTTTACAATGAACCTTTGGCTACTGAAAGGGACTCCTTGGGCTTGGACAGGTTGCTCTGTCTTGCGCTGTGTTGCCTAATAAGGTCTAAAGGAGATTTTTCACAGCCTCCACATCCAAAGATCTCGTCCTCCTCCCTCACTCCACTTTATGTGGTGTGTGGTTTAAGGGGTTGGCAGGTTCACACCAACTTCAGGGACAGACAGTCCTATAGGAATGAGCTGCAGGATGCTGTTGACTCATTTTCAGAGAATAATTCTATGGCTTTTTGTATTTCAAACTCATCCAGACAGGGTAGTGATTCAGGGGGCAAAACAAGCCAGTACAGTTCCTCCTAGAATCAACTGTGCACACAGCAGAAATCACAAAAAGGATGAACACTGACTGAACTAAGAACTGTAGCCCTACTTTACAAGTTTGTGGCTTCTTGTGGGCAGATTTTTGGTATAAACATCAGACTTCTCCCACTTGCCTACAAACTGGACCTAAATTCTGCCTCTACATCCCTGATTTCTTCACTGTGCTGCTGCAGCTGACTGTATATTCTATCGAAAAATTTAAATACAGAATGCAGGACTGAATTAATATCAAAAAAATCAATAATTCAGTGCAAGAGATTACGTAATTACATTTATTAAACCTAACTCATCAAACTAAATGCTCTTCTCCAGCTTGGAGCTGGAGTACATTTGTTCCAAAAATACACATTAAAAAAAAAACAAATTTGATCACAGACAATTCAACTTGTATATAGCTCCTCTTTCTTTTTCTCACAAATGATAAGTCCACACTTTGAAAAGATAACACCAGCTCAAGGGAAATACCTTTTCTTAAGATGTTAATTTAGACCAGGCAGGAGACATCAGCTTGTCTTGAAGGCAGGCTGATGTCAAGAGTGGAGAGCTGCAGCTCAGCTGCAGACATGCTATTGGTGTAGTGAAAAAAGTAACAGCTGACCACAACCACTCAGGCATAAATATTTAATTGCTCTCATCCTTGTTGCAATGACTCAGACAGAAAATTAAAGATTTCTCCAGAGGCAACAGCTCTGCTATAGTTTTTCCACATCAAAGTATTCTCTTCTTGCCCACCCAAGCCTAAACCTTCACCTCCATTTACTGAATTTTGAAGAACTAATAGGAAGCTGATCAAATCAAAAAATAAAATACTTCTGCAAGGCCATATGAGAGTTGAGCACATCCATTTCATTACTGTCACCCAATCAAGGTCCATTTAAATGCATGAGAGCATAATTAGCCACAGAGACACAAACCTGGCACACTTAAAATAACAGCATTTTCCACATATCAGAGGATGAATGTGAAATTCTGTGTTGTTTTATTTCTGACACTGTTGTACATGAAAAGGTAAGCAAAATAAAATGAAAAATCAAGACAGGCAATTTGTCTTTCATCCCTTCATTATTTATCTTTTGTTTAACATCAGTGTTGCAATCCTTCTCTTGGGGGGACCCCTCGGTCTCACCCCCTGTGGTTAGAGCCCCGATTGTCTCAGGGCACAGGCGGCTGAGGGGGTCCTGGAGTGGATACAACACGGACTCAAAGTATCTAGACACAGGCGGCTCAAACTTGCTGGAATAATCCCGGGTTTACTGTCTGTCGTCCATCCGGGGCAAGAGAGAGACCGAAATGCCCTGGGTCTTATCTCTTATACCAGGGGGCAGGGGTGATTAGGGGATGCAGGGAGGTCACAGCCAATGGGAAGGGAAAGAAGGTTTTCAGGTAGGAACTAACATTACACAAACCAGAGGTGAGTTTTACCTTTGGGAGATACCAAGATTTTTAGATGCACTACAACACATCAGGATGAAGAACAATTCCCCTCAACAATCCTTGTGGATCCCTTCCAACTCAGGGCATTCTACGACTCTGTGATTCTCTGAAGTAAAATACCTCTTGCAGAAGTGGGGGCTGTTTAAAAACAAGGCAAGAGGAAAACCCCAACTCACTTCCTCCTTTTATCATAGATAGAAAGACCTGTTAAACCATCCACAAATACTAGAGTAACATGAAACTAATGTGAAAAAGTAGCCTTTTTATGTGTCTTGGAGAATTGGGGGATGATTGTGAATTATTGCTATTTCTTGGTGGTGCAGCACTTGCTATAAATAAAACCACAAGGTATAGGAGGTAGCACATAAACCAATGCACTCTCACATTCATGACCAAACCAAAGCCCTCACCAAAAGTGCAATTCTGTGAATGCAGAAAAGCAAGAGTACTGCAGTACTTCTTTTCTGTGTGGCTGAATGGGAATCCTTTGTGACAGGCCCACTGTAGCACTAAGAAGATTTCAGAGTTCAAAGAAAGAACTCTTAAAAACTCTTAAATTCTCTTATAAAGCTCATGTTGCTCATATGTGGTTTCAGAAAATTCCAAGCATGGTGAAACCAAATCACACCAGGAATATTTACTATCTCTGCCTCCTGTTGTCACTTTTTGGACCACTTTTTTCACTCTCTGCCTGCTCTGGACAGGATTTCCTCATCCTTAGAAGATCTATTGGATCTAATTTAGTCTCTTACTGAAAAGGTGATCAGATGTCTGAAGAAGACAGGTAGAAGAGATAAACTTTTATGTACAATGAAAGATAAGCTACATTTGAGAAGAACAGAGAAACAATCCACCAGAAACTAACTAAATTACACAGATGGCCCTGCCATCTTTGAGAAAATTAAATAATTAAAAGTCAACATTTTTGATGGGAACAAAATATTCTAATTTAACAACTAGAACAAAGTCTATCACTAAAAACTGAAAATTCATGATTCTCCACAAAACAACTGTGAAAAATTTCCACCAAGCCCTCAGTGGTTTCACTAAGGAGAAATTCATTCATGAGTCTACATTGATCCTAAAATGGAGACTTGCTATGTGGAAAAGATTTCTATACAGACGACTTAAAAAAGCAAGGAGAGCAGTTATACCAGGGTAACTCCACATGTACAATTACATTTATGCCACTACAAAATTTATTCTAATTTAGATTCAGTTACTCCAAACCAATGTAAGTTAACCAGGGGAAGACAAATCAGAGTAAGAATGCTTACATTCTTAGAATAAGACATCTTTATTGAAGGGAAATGAAATTATGTCTTACAGCAGGAAAGTGCCTTTCTGTGGGCAAATGCATAAGCAGGGTCTTGGCACATACTTGTTTGCAGGGGAAACCAAAGTAAAATCTTTTGTTAGAGGCTGTGAGGTGCTCAACATCTGAATTTCCATGAATTTCCTTGATCAGAGCATTCAAAACAGAAATTAAATATGAGCATTTGTGTAAAGCAGAGCATTGCTTTCTGTGCTGAGAACAGTGCTGCATTTGTTACCTTCAGCTCTCTGTTTAACAAGCTCCCTGTGCGTTATTTGTCAGGTCTGCAGCAGCACTGAGGATGCTTTCACAGCTCTGGGATTGTATTACCTGCCACACACCCAACTTTCACAGGCAAGACATTTCTGAATATCCCACTCTTGAGTGGGAGGTTTGAACCAATCAAATAGTTATTTAAATGAATGGTTTATTCACCAAAGGTAACTGTGAATTTGATGAAATTTACCAGGTAGCTCTGAACCTGCTATCAAGTGAGGGAGAGAGAAAAGGATGTTATTATTTTACCATTTGGTAAAAGAACGTACCTCAGTTCTCCAGGTCAGATTTACACCAACTGGTTTATGAAGATCCAGATGGCAATTAGCCAATACCATAGGAAAATTCAGAAAGCTGACTGCTCCCTCTTGAATGGACTTTGCAATATCCCAGTGTATAATGGTGACACACACACTGTATGAACTCGCGACATTTATTTATGGAAGGAAAGATAATTTCCTACAAAGCCCAAGTGCCATAGAAAAAACAACTACTTCATTTGTGTTATTTTGCATTAAAAATAGAAAACTTCTTATCATTGTCTTTGGAAGAAGACCAACATGTTTTGAGGAAAACCAGAATGGAAAGAGCCATGATAAGTGGGGGGATGCTAAGTGAACACTGAATCCACTCTTCACACAGAATGGTAATTATTCTTTAATGTGCATTTATTCATTTTTCATAAGGATCCTTAATGTTCAAAGTGCCAAAATAGTAAGAGAAAAAAGCCCTTAAGATACTGTTAACTTTAGAAACCACAAACAGAAATGTGAAAATTTATTTCACAGACTGTTTCTATTTCTTTTTAAATGAAAGATAGTCACAACTTCCAGTGCCTCTATTTTTTTACGAAGTCTGCATGTCCACTAAAATCAATGATAAAATAATTTCAGATCTTTGGAGTACTCACCTGACCTGCACAGAAAGCACACTGTCCATGAAGTTGTATGACATTTACGTAACAGCTTCTGCATCCACAGACATGAAGGGTTTTGCTTGGTTTTGATGTTGTTGTTGGGCAACGAGGTGTGGGAATTGTTTGTTTGTGGGTTTGTGTGTTTGAATACAGTGCCCATGCTCCCATGGGAAGCTAGAGTATAAAGCACTGGAGAAATCCCAGACACTTATTGAATACCACCCCCAGCACGTTCCCCAGGTCATCTCCTCTTTCAAATATCCAACAGATGCATTTTCCTGGGACAGAAAAGATGGGGAAAAATTTCCAGAAACCTCATGGTGGACTGACTCTGGCTAAATGGCAGTGCCCATGAAACCACTCCATAATGCCCTTTTCTTAACTGGACAGGGAAGAGAAAATGTAACAAAAGACCCCCAAGTCAAGATAAGGACAGCGAGAGATTGTTCGCTAATTACTACTACAGGCAAAACAGACTCAACTTGGGAAAAACTAGTTTATTGCTAATCAAATTAGGAAGTATAATGAGAAATAAAACCAAATCTTGAAACACTTTCTTCCACATCTTCCCAGGCTCAACTTCACTCCCAATTTCTCTACCTCTTTTCATCCAGCAGGGACAATGGGGGTTTTGGTCAGTTCATCTCACATTGTCTCTGCTGCTCCTTCCTCCTTGCGGGGAGGACTCCTCACACTCTTCCCCTGCTCCAGTGTGGGGTCCCTCCAAAGGAAACTAGGTCCTTCAGGAATTTCTCCAACATGAGTTCTTCCCAAGGGTTGTTTTTCATTACGTGCCCCAGCATGAGTCCCTTTCCATAAGGTGCAGTCTTTCTCCAATGAGGGCTCCTCTCTCCACAGATTCTGCCAGGACCCTGCTCCAGCACAGGCTTCCCTTGGAGTCACAGCCTCTTTCAGGCATCCCCTTGCTCTGGTGTGGGCTCCTCCAGGGGCTGCAGGGGCTCAGCTGCCTCTCCATGGGCTGCACCACAGAATCTCAGGGGAATCTCAGCTCTGGAGCCTGGAGCAGCTCCTGCCCTTCCTTCTGTCCTGCCCTGTGTGTTTGCAGAGCTGTTCCTCTCACAGTCACACTCCTCTCTTTCACCTGCTATTGTGCAGTATCTTTTACATTTTCTTAAATACGTAATCACAGAGGTGCTAAAAGTGTTGCTGAAGGGCTCAGCCTTGACCAGCAGCAGGTCCATCATGGAGCTGAGGGAAGCTTCTGGCATCTCACAGAAGTCTCCTCTGCAGTCCACCCCATCACCAAAACCTTGCACACAAACCTAACATTCCTTTAACTCAAGTTTCTCATTACATTTTCTACAGCTTCCTAAACACTTTATTCCCAAATGACACCAACAGGATCATTTAACAATAATGCTAACAGTTTCTTGTGTCTGGCATGGAGGAGAGATTTTATAGATGTTTGAATAACAAAAGGATCCCTTCCAATGTACACACCTCATTCTCAGCTTGAAAAATATTTAGAAAGGGAAAACACTGAGACTTCTTTCTCCTTTACCAAAGTATGAAAGGACCCTTCAGAGGATTGTGTATTCCCTCACCAGGCTGTACACATCAACACCAGCAACATCAGCATAGAGTTCAGGCACCACTGGCTCAGGCACCTGCAGCACTGTGTGCCCATTACTGGTCTTCATAGCTGTTTTCAGGGAGCACAACAGGTATGCTGGAGAAGGCCGGTGAGCTGCAGTCCACTGCCAGCAGGACTTCATGATGCTGTACCTGTAAATTATGAAATCATGTCTTCATGCAAACAAATGTACCTTAGATCTTCCCTGTGGATACTTTGTTCATTTCAGAGAATACCCTATAACTTAGAGGAGAAAAATCATTCCCCAGCAGCGCTGCACCTTCCAAGGAAGTAATGGAGCAGCAAAATGCAAGGGCTCTTAAGGAAACAGAAACAAGTGTCACTTTCCAGAAAAGGACAGAAAGGCTTTGGCCACAGAGGTTTTACGCAGCAGAACAAAATAAAATGTGGCAGACACAAATCTCCTCAGCTATCAGGTTATTCTTGGTATAGTCTAGACTTAGAAATCTTATGTAAAATCTAATTTCCTGTGTCTCACTTCTATTTAGCTCTGCCAACCTCATGTTCAATTGTCCATAAAGCAAGTGGCTTACATGGCTTGCTGGCAGCTTGAGGGCTGCTTCATAATGTTCTGTTTCTGCAGGTATGGTAAGATGTCAGAAGGTGGCACCTCAGGATATGGCGGAGCACCTGGAATGGCAAAAGAAGCAATGGTAGAAAACTCTATGGCAATGGTTGCAGAGAGCAGCTTCTGTGCAAGACTGCCTTCCATCCCTACCAAGATCTGGGTTTTTTCCTATCACAATTCACAATAACAGAAGGTCTAAAAGGAATTGACGAGACTTTGCAAATTGGAAAAAAATCAGGGTGCTTATTTAAATGGGTCTACTTTACATTCTAAAATTAGAGATTTTTGGGTCTTGTTAATTTGCTGCTTCCTTACGTATTTTTTTTTTTAATTAGCATTCAATCTTCTTACCTAATGTAATCATTTCATACAGTAGAATTCCAAAAGACCATCTGCAAGAAAAGAAAACAAAGTGATTTTGTTTGCTGGTTTAAATAGATAAGAACAACTAGGCATGGCCAGCAGACAGGAGAAAGCATGAGCTATAAAAGTGGAGCCTTATGCTGGAAGTAGATCTGCCTTCCTGTGAACTTCAGGACATGAAATGATACATAAAGGAGTGAAAGAGACAGATCTGACAGACAGATGAACTTCTAGTCTCAAAACAAAGCCATACATGTCTGCCTTGATGGTAGGGGGTTTTCTCAGGAGCCTCTCTGGTGCCTGCCACTTGACGGGCACTTTCCATGTGTCTGAGCTGGCACCACGTGTGTGAGTTTCATACGCCAGGCCCAAACCACAGAGCTTAGCAGTGAAGTTGTGATGAAGAAGGACATTCCTGGCAGCAATGTCACCATGGAACAAGTTCTTTTCTTCAAGATAAGCCTGGGAAATTGGAAAAGAAGGAAAACAGGATTATTTTAAACGGAAATTTAATTTTTAGAAATTTTCACTTTTTTATGCTTGAGTTTATGCTTGTCTTCAACAATGTGGAGTAGAGACATGTGCTCACCAACATAATGGAAGCATATTTTAACAAAGTCTTTATTCTTAGGCCAAGAAGACTTGAGCCACCATGCAAATTTGTGTTGCAATCAAGCAGGAAGGAAAAAATGCAGCCAACATGAGCAGACTTACCAGAGCTGCTACAACCTGCTGTCCAATCTCATATACCTGTCTCTCAGTGAGGTCATAGGGGACACCATCCATTGCCATTACATTCTAGAGACAAAATAAGAGACCTTGGTTCAAACAAATGCCACAGCAGTGGAACAGTGGAGAATGTTTACTTCTAATCTATCTAATCTTATGCTCCTCCTTCTCACAATTGCTCATAAATTGACTGAAATATAAGAGGACATAGATGGATGATGCTGATGGTGTGTTGCGTAAGACAAGTACACTAGAGACAACTGGTGGGCAAATTGACATGTGGGGAAAAAATTAATAGGTTAGTCAGAATAACAGTGAAGAATGACAATCCACACAGGTGAAAGAAAGATATATTATAAATTAGAATAATGAGCAGAAAAACACATTTCTAACATATGAATTGGGTACCTGGTATGAGACTAACAGTCCATCTCTCCTACCACCCTACCTGTAACAGTAAGAGAGAGAGAGATGAGAGAGAGAATAAGGTAAGCACACAATGTTCTTCCTGTGCTATTTTACAGCCTACAGATACAGTCTATTTAAAACTTCCTGGGATGGTTATGGTTTCAACATGTTCAGCATCCTTTGAAAGTTTACTTTCCATAACTGACCTCATAAGAAGGTCAATATCCACAGCAGTCAGTGGCAAGACTGCTGTTAGTCAACTCCTCACTTCATAAAGAACCAGCTCCATTTGTTTGTTTTGAACATGACACATACTAGCTATATTTGCTACCACCTGGACCTTTTGCTGAACAGGACTGGAAGCAATCTTTCTGTATTTAGAGTTTCAGATGTAGGAGACTGATGGATTTACAGTGGTAACAGCAGAGCTGTTTCCGTGCCTTTTGTAACAAAGAGTCATAGAATCACTGAATATGCTGAGTTGGAAGGGACCCACAAGGATCATTGAGTCCAGATCCTGGCCCTGCAATGGACATCCCAACAATCCAACCCCGTGCCTGACAGTGTTGTCCAAACACTCCTGGAGCTCAGACAGCCTTGGAACTGTGACCATTCAGTGCCCCACCATCCTCTGGGGGAAGAATGTCTTCCTGCTATCCAATCTAAACCTCCCCTGACATTTGGGCTCTTTTTTAGCTTGAGTTAGCATTTCCAATGGACAGCATATTTTCATACTACCAGACCTCATCCCGTCAGATTTTACCCCTCAGCAATAGGCAGACATGAAGCCATCATTCACATACGTGAAACTTCTTCCTGTGCATTATTTAATTTTTAATTACACTGAATTTCAGCTGTTCTTTTTATTGAAAAGTGTCTCAGTCTTTGAAGATCCTTCTGCAATTCCTTTGGGTCAGCCCTTGCCTTTACTGGCTGGAATCATCAGAAAATATCATCACTGTCACTGTCATGCCATTTTTAGGTTAGTAATATATGCAATGAACAGCACCATGTCCTAGATAGCTGACCTCCTTTCAGTGCAGGTACCAACCTTTCATTCTTATATTGTTTCCTGGCTTTTAACACATTAGTTACCATACCATGACCTTCCCCCTGTTGTAACAGCTCTGCTTTCTTAAAAGCACTTGGACTGAGACATGATTTAAAACTTTAGAAATTCTGGTGGCTGTATGAATTCATGCTAATTCCAGTGCCTTATAGGCAGATATGTACCTATGTAATTTAAGAAGCTATTCTGTCATCACTTCTTTCGACTCACTTTCCGACATGTCCACAGAAATGTCAGCAAGTCACCAAGAGACACATCTTCCATGATCATATAAAGTGGGAGCTGGTCTATACAACATCCAACCAATTCAGCCAGGTTCTCATGACGGCCAAGATTATGATGGAATTTAATCCTTCCCAAAAAATCCTTTACTCTCTGGGGACTAGCTGGGTCTGAAAGAACAAAAGAAAACAAATTAAAAACAAAACAACAACAAATGGAAGCAGCAAAGAACAGGTTGACAGCTAAAATCAACATGGTCATCAACCTTTAATCCTACCAGGACATACCTACAAGAGCATCTCAGACTTACTATACTGAACATAGCTTGTACTTGTCCAGTACTGATGGCAATGCTCTGCCCAGCAGCATGTCTGGGATACAGAGACTGTACCAAAGTGGATCCTAGCCACGGGCCCTACCTTGCAAGGCTTTCAATACCACAGTCTTAGTCTTCCCAGAGCTCCCAGTTTCCAACTGAGCCCTGTAGATGCTCCCAAAGGCACCAACTTTAATCAGCTGCAAGGTGTCTGGTAGGAGTTTCTCTCGTGGTATCTCTAATTCTTTCAGAGTCAAGGATGCAGAATTTAACAGGCTCGCCAAAGTTCTCTCACTCAGCTGGATGTAGCAGGTCTCTGTTGAGCAAAGTTCCTCCAGATTCTTTTTCGTCACTGACAAAAGCAAATACATATGATGCATAAAACCTGACATACAAACTCCTGTAATAGGTGGCAATGCTCATCCTTCTATGCTCTTTAATTTCTGCTCTACAGTGCTTTGTAAATCAGGGTGAAGTAAGGAACTGTTATGGTATCTTACTTATCCTGGCCCTTGAAGAGGAGAAAGAATTTATCTCCCACTCTATTTGATGAAAAGACAGAGCCAGTCTAAAAATTTCTCCCATATTTAACTACATAACCTTTGCAGATAAGACACATTTGGATTTCATTCCCATGTGCTCAAGCAAAGAACATTTTCTTTCATTACAAGTTCTCAATTATTTCTCTTAATATAGGCTCAAGAGGCTGTTTCCCTCTACATACCCCAAATTAGTTCAGAACTGTACTTTCATTTCCACATAGCCACACGTGTACCAATAAATCTTTCCCTACCCCCTCACCAGTCCGTGTTCTACTTCATGTTGTCTCCATAGGAAGAGTGAGACAGCAGTTTGAAATTAAATTTCTTAAATGGCAGCAGAGAAAATGGATTAACTAGGCATAATATACATCAAAATTACTGTCATTCATAACTACCCCATAAAACTCTCCCTGCAACAACCTCCAAGAGGCTATAACACAAATACACTTTTGCAGCTCTTGTGATGTTATCACAGCATGTTAAACAGCCTACATGGCATGATGCTTTAGATTTCCTCAGCTCCATCTACACTACAGCTTCCACTACTGCTGCTGCAAAATGGAGTAAATCAGGGTTCCCAAATTTTCTAATATTTACTGGATTGCTGAATACCACTTAGGATCCTCATAAATTATTTTTCTTAACAGCTCAAGTGATGGGGAAATAAAATTGGCTTCTGGCCACTGAAACCAATACTCTTTCCTCTGGTTGAGAAGCATTTTTTTTTACCTTGGGTTCTAGCTGGTGCTGATTGCTCCTGCTTTGCTCGCAGGCCACGGCAGTGGAGCCAAAGGATCACAGTGAGCACAATGACAAAAAATCCCACCAGGAGAACTGGGACAACAATCACTTCCATTTGATATTCACGCACAACTGTCAGCAGAGAAATAAAATGGAAAACCAAGGAATAAGCAGCACACTGGTTCTGTATAACCATGTAGCAACAATCCATTTCAGTAGGTTTCAACCCCAAAAGTGTTTGTTCCATCCTCTGGAATAGCTGAACACTGCTAGTCCTGCCACCTTCTTTTCAAAGGTGCTGAGTACCTAAACTGCATGGAATCGCTAAGACTCCCCACACCTAAGGTCACTTATTTAATTCCTTTAATATAGAGGAATATATTATAATTATAATTAATATAGAAGCCAGGAATTGTAGTAATTTGAAGCACCAGTGAAACAAAAACAGCACTGGTAGCAGGAAAGCTGGATATTGCGATGTCATTAAGTTCAATTACAGCTCCAGCTCCCTCCAGTAAAATTACACAGAGCATTTTAAAGAAAACTGCGTGTCGTCTCCTTTGGAGTTTCATTCGAAGACACTGCAATTAGCAAGGCTTGTGAAGGTAACTATCTTTCTCCTGTCCCCAGATTTGGAGGTGGTTGAGACCATTTTATCAGTTCCCAAAGATGGCAGAAAGTCATGAAATCAAAATCCCACAAAACTGGTCCTTTGGGAAGCTGCAAGGAATCTTTAATGCCTGCTGTACACCTCATTCAAAGTAGGAATTCTCTAAAATGGCTGAAATTATGGGAGATTAATCCTGCCACAGAGACTTCATCCTCATAAACATTTCTCCCCTGAAATACAATGTAGGGAAAGCTCTATCAAATTTTTCTTGTGTGGGCTGGGATGCAGGTAGAGGAGGATAAAGGGCTTGGCACACTTTTTAGTGAAGCTGGCCTTCCTGCCCAGCATGTGAAACCTTATTAAAGGAGTGTGTGAATCTTACCACACAGCTTGTCATTGTTATTGCACTCCAGCAGCATCCGTGAGAATCCTTTCACATCCACTGCCATGCTCAGCTACAATCAAGCAGGTCTCCAACCCCCACTTCCTGCATAGACATAAAGAATAATAACAAAATTTATTAGGAGAAAGAATAATGATGATGAAGCAACAAGTGATGTGAATAGGGAGCTTTCTACCCCTTATAATCAGTGGCTGCATGAAGCAGTACTGGGATTTGAAGGCTTAGAGAATGACATAGGACATGAACTATCACATCTCATGTATGATGCATTGTATGACCAGAGAGAATTTAGAGTTAAGCTTGTTTTACAGTGCTCCACAAGCAAATAAGGACCCCTAGGCCTAAAGGCTGGCATATGTACAAAAATCCATAGATATTAACTTAATTATATTTAGAGAACATCTAATACTCTCCTAGCTAACACATTTTCTAGATGCCAGAATGGCTCAGAATTTTATCTTCCGATCCATTACAAGTGAACAGGTCAGCAGCATGCATAGAAAATGTCATCCTTGACTACAGTCCTTGCCACAACTCCTACTTGTTGCTCTACAAAGAGAAAGAGAAAAAAGACTCGTCATTAGGGTTCTCTGGTACAAACTTCTGAGCACTGCCAAGTTTGTAGGTATTCTGAAGCACAGCATCTGTACCTCTTCTGCATTTGTAGATGAAAATCCAGAGCCTGTACAAGCATGCACCTTGTTTAGCCTCTACTTCTTATGAACATTGCTAAAATGTAAGACTTAACAGCTTTGCAAACAGTATCATCTAGAACCTTTTATAGGAATTGTGACTTTTATCCTGGAAGCACCTACTTCATTTTTGACTCTGAGTTTCAGGCAATTAACTTCAATGGCAAGTATAGGGCATTGATTTCATGGAATTTGGTGATGAAACATTTAACAGTTTGTTCTCATGTTTAAAACTAATGAGTGAAATTATTCTTTATCAATTGCACAATAGAGGCAGCAGAGAGAGGGAAACGGAATATATCTGTGCTTTAAGGTATCACAAAAAGTCTATTTCCTTTTTTTATTTAATTTAATTCTTAATGTGCTAACAGATTTACCTGGTTCCAAGGTGCTGCTACACTAGGAATCCAGTCAAAGGAGTAATAACACAGCAATAATACCAAGCTTTTCAGGTACACTCTGAAAGCAAGCACACAAAAACAACCTGCTTCAGCTTTAACACACGCACACACATAACACAGGGCCAGTCCTGGCTTCTTTCATCCTCAGGTACACAAAGACTTCAGGATCATTAACCAGCAATCATATTGTATAATCGAAGTCATGAACAGTCCAAGCTCCATCTTAAGACTTGCTAAGGGCTTTGTACAGGTGCTTACTAGAAATGCACACTGACATTTAAGCACCATGCATGCACAGGCACACAAAAGCACACACCCCAATTTGTGCTTACGGAGAGAGCAACAAAGATCCATGGAAAAAACTCTGATGCAACAGCCATGTCTACACTGGTCACTGTCCGTAAAAAAGATTCCTCCCTACTCTTTATGCATATCCCAGCAGTGATGCCAGTGGGTGGCACTCATGTTTTCCAACCATACTCAAGGCAGAATCAGGGGATCCAGGAATGAAAACATTGGCAGTCACTGGTGCTTTATTTGCCCTGGCACTCCCATGTGCTGTGGTTGCTTATTGGGGTGTTATCACTGGAAAAGCTTGATTACAGAAGCCCACTTACACAACATGTCTCTTTCCTCTCACAATACTCAGCAAGCAGAAAACAAAGTTTCTCTCAGTAAGGTAATTCTGAAGCGCCTTTCAGTGCTACTTTTCAGGCCAACACCAAATAAATTCCCGTACTAGGCTGTTTCTGCAACTTACTTGTCTAACAGTAACATCATTGCAGTTCTTACATTCCTGTCTTCACAAGGAGAATGGTAACTCAGAAATCCAGAGAACTCACATTATATATTTAATATTTTTTGCACTGGGAGACACATGAAAATTATGTGGAACTAGCATGTTCATGTGCATACCCAACACAGAGCAGGACTACTGACAGTGCTCAACTACTTATTCTATTAGATGAAGACATTTTCCCAGTACCAAGACAGGATAAAGGAAACAAAAATATCTTAAAAAGTTCAAAATCTGTACCTCACTAGCATTCTGATTTTCCTTGCCTGTGTGTTAACACTGTACCAAGATCAGTGCTATCTAGATCATGTGCACACATACACTGTGTTACCTTGATTTAGAATTTGCACTAGAGAATTTGTGCAATTTCAACTAAATGTCAGCTTATTTATTCCACTGGATTTTTCAATATTCTTTTACACAGACTGAATTCCACTCACTGGAATTCACAGAATCATAAATGTTGGAAAAGACCCTTAAAATCAAGTCCAACAGTCAGCCCAGCACCACCACCACGTTCGCCACTAAACCATGTCCTCATGGTCCACCTCCACAGGTTTTCTGTACATTTCCAGGGATGGTGACTCTACCAACTTCACTGAGCAGCCTATCCCATTGTTTAATGACTTTCAGCAAAGAAATTTTTCCTAATTTAATATAAACATCCCCTGGCACAGCTTGAGTACATTTTCTCTTGTCCTGTCCCTTGTTCCCTGGGAGCAGAGCCCCAGCTGTCCCCTCCCGTCAGGGGGTTGTGCAGAGCCAGAAGGTTCCCCCTGAACCTCCTTTTCTCCAGGCTGAGCCCCTTTCCCAGCTCCCTCAGCCCCTCCTGGTGCTCCAAACCCTTCCCCAGCTCCATTCCCTTCTCTGGACACGCTCCAGCCCCTCAATGTCCATCTTGTCCTGAGGTTCCCAAGCTGCCCCAGGATCTGAGGTGTGGCCCCAGCAGTGCCCAGCACAGGGACAGTCACTGCCCTGGCCCTGCAGCCACACCACGGCTGGCACAGTCCAGGTGCCTTTGGCCTTTTGCCCCCCTGGGCTCCTGTCCAGCTGCTGTCCCCAGCACCCCCAGGGTCTTTCCCAGCTTTCCAGCCCCTCTGCCCCAGCCTGGAGCTGCAGGGGTTGGTGCGAGCCAAGGGCAGCACCCAGGACCTGGCCTTGCTGACCCTCAGACCACCAGACTGGGCCCATGGATCCAGTCTGTCCAGATCCCTCTGCAGAGCCTTCTGACCTTCAACCTGAACCCAAATCTTGGTGTCAAAGCTAAATAAACAGTGAAGACCACAGTACCTAAAAACAGCAGAAGCAGCTGCTCTTAGACAATGGGAAATACAAGTCAAAACCTTATCAGAAGTTAAACTACAGTCACCAGCACTTGCAAACTGCTCCTAGCAGACTACTTGGTGCACAGCATGTGGCACAGCAGTTCCACAGCCTAGTAGCAGTGACAGGTTAATTAGCCCCCATCCTACACCAACACTGCTCCTCTGTACACATTTGCCAACAGGATGAACACTTGTGGAAAGATGGCATTTTGTTTCCAGCCATAGCAATAGCAGAAGCATTCACATGGTAGTGTGGTAAACGGAACCAGGAAGGTGATCCGCCCTAAAATAATCAATCCTCTCTTATATTTTATGTCCTTAAAGTTCTCATCAAGCTCAAATTATGCTATTTAAAGTTCCAGGGCTGACTTAAGAAGCCTGAGTGACAAACTTTGTGGTTAAGACTGAAAAGAAAGAGAAATATCAAGACTTAACATGCCCATGGAATATATGGGAACAGACAGCTTGAATACTGCCCACACAGAAGCTGTCTGCTGCTTGCTCCTGCCATGTTCAGGAGAGTAAGTTGCTCATATTCACAGCAAATATACAGTTTTGCCCCTGAATATGTCTAATTTGTGAGCTACCACCAGCTCCCATCATCAGTGCAAACATGTAAATCCTTGTGTAATGATTAGCTAAAGATCTAAAGAAACAGCTGGTTAATTAAATACGACAAAAATAAAGGCTAAGATTCATCTGGATCTTCATTAGACACTTTAAAAAGTGCTAGGAGCTGATATGGACTTAATGCAGTTATTTCTCCAAACATCCTGTCCCACGTTTACTGCATACCACTTTATTATAAAAATAATCTTACACTTGTTTTTCATGCACCCATTGTGAGGACCAGCTGTAATATGACTACAGGCACATAAAGAACAGCTGAGTAATTCAGTAACTTCAGTCCAGCACAGTGCTGACAGAAGACAAATCCTTAATCATTATGTCTTCTACTTAATTTCTTGCAGTGGCAGAACCTTGCTCTCCAGCTTTTCCAGTTACCATTTCACAGTTGCTTTTATTATTTCCCTCCCCTTTTATCTGACCTTTGAACATGGTCAACAGTCAAGGCTTTGGCAACTACTCTGCACAAGCACACTCTACTGGCTGTGCAGCAGGAAGAGAGTGGAAATACCAGGGAATTGCAGGAACCAAAACAACAGGAAACCACCAGGTGTGGGCAGTTGTGGATATTGAATGTAAGAGAAAAGGGAGAAATTAAGCACCATTGTAAAGCAAACAGTGAAAATGAAAATATTTTTTCCCCTGCCACATCCACTGTTTATTAAAAGCAGCATCCACACAAATAAAAAACAAGCCTGACAGGTTTCAGCCATGCATTTGTTAGACTGCATATTCTGTCTCTTCTGCCTGCAGAAGACCTTAGTGACTACCTTCAACAACCTGGCAGACTGTGACATTTTTGCAACGTTTCCCTGGCCTGAGGAGTCATCTCATCTCTCACTGCAAGGCACCTGTGGGTTAACAAGCAGCATCTTCGATTGTGCAGAATGGGAAATTGTGACCAGCCACACTGGAGTCACTTCTGTCCTTGTGAACAAGGATTAAAAATAATATCCTGTGGCTTGCTGTAACACTGTCTCAGCTATAAAGATTAAGTAGTATTAGTCACTTTTGAAACAGCTGGTAGCTGTAACACCCTGTAAGAAAACAAAGTGTTCCAAAAATCACATACAGACACACAAGATTTTTTCTTGGTCCAAAATTAGAAGCAATACTTGAATATCAAACCTAAGCTAGCTGCCACAGAAGCATATTAAGGGAGTGGAAGAAAATTAGGCTGACCACTTTTGAAGAGCCAGATCATAGAGAAAACAGCAAATAATGAGGCCCATGCTGCTATTTGAGCAGGTGGTTACTTAGAAGAAACAGCTCCTTTTCAATACAGCAGAAAAAACCAGGCGAAGTTAACAGTCACTACAGCACTGAGAAATGAGTCAGGAGGACAGTGCTGCTGTGCTTTTATGGTAAAAATGTTAGTTCTAACTGGGACTGTTTCAGTGTAGACATGCAAGTTCTTACAGTGCTAGGTTGTGCTTAAACTCAGAACATCTACAAAAATTGATTTATTTGCACTGCATAAGGAAATCTAAGTACAGAAGTATGAAATGGTACAGGACCTGAATGGGGATTAAGACAAAAATATTTTTTCTGGTGCAGACATGGCCTACTGTAGTTTCTGGAAAATTAACATATATCTTCCCATTGAATTAAGGCCGGCAAAAGTAATCCTTCACAGGTAATCTAAAGAATAAGTTAAAAAAATTTAAAAAAACCAACAAAGACTACATTAAGCTGAAGCCCTTAATGAGCAGGCTATTAAAAGTCTAGAGGCCAAACTTTAAACAGTACACTATCACCTATGGCTTCCTTTTATGACACCAAAATCATACTCTACTTTTGAAAATGTCTCCCAGCTGACTGAGCTCTGGTTTTGCTGGTAGCTGCCTGTATTAAGCCTGTATCAAACCCCAGCACAAATACAGAAATTCTGAAAGACTGTGACAGCAAAAGCCATGACAGAACATGAGAAGAATGAGGGATTTTTGTTTCAAAGAACCATGCATATATATAGCTCTTCTTGTGAAAAACTTACTATGTGATGAAAATACTGCATGACATCACAATGCTGCTTAATGGTTTAAGAAACCCAACATAAATCTGCTTTCATAAATTCACAGCCACCTGAAGCAGTGTAGACAACTTTAGTTTCAGTTTCCCAAGTTCTGAATGTTTCTTGATGGATTTAGCATAGATTTTGTTTGTATTTTAATCAGTAGCTCATGCACACACAGGTTAACACAGGACAATCTAGATATCTGCACCACTTTGGGTTACATCTAGATATCTGCACCACTGCCTTACAATTAAGCAACAGTGATGGGAGTAAAATGGTAATTAGTTTTCAATTCAGCCCTAGGCATGTATTACTTACCTAAAGACTGAACATATCTATACACACATGCATAGCATCACCCTGTTTCAGTGAACTGAGACTAATTTTATAAAAAATTTAATTATTTTGCTAATTTCTTTCTCTTTAAAAAATGCCTGTGAGCTATTTCATTCAAATCTGCCAGCGTATAGAAGACATCCCTCTTTTATTTTTTCTCAAACTCCAATACCATTATGATCACAGAAATGACTAAAAGTAGCTTCACTACAATCAGTAAACATATGTACATGTGTACATGCACACATACACACATGTAAAGTTACCTTCTAATTCAGGTCACATTTATGTTAATAAAAGTATTTTAAGGAATAAATATTCACAGGCAACAGGCAATATTCACAGTGCTTCCAGAAGCACTTTCTCTCACTTACCTGAATGACACCGCTTCCCGTGTCCTGCGGTTGTCTTTTCCTGAAGCTCTCCAGCTGCCGGTTCCCAGTTTGTGAGGCCACTCCCAGTAACGCTGATGATTACCTTGCTACGGTTCTAATTTTTTTATGACTAAATTCCTCCTCACTGATTTTTCTACTCCAGTCCCGCCCAGCTTTGGTTCTTTGCTTCTCTAGGTCTCCTCAGCTGTCTCTCCAGGGACGTGCAACACATAGCTGACACGAAGGCACACACTTGCAGAACGGGTCTGCCTGGCTTCCACACCGCAGCTGCTCATGGGCTGACTACAGAGACAGGCACAGCAGAGAGCCCTCAAGCAGGCACCTGCAGTGGGGTTTGAAAGGCAGACCAATACAGATCAAGAGGACAGGTTATGTAATAAACAGAATTCATACGCTTCTGGTTACAGGTACACATTTAGAAAGAATGGGCTCTTTGGAACAAAAAATCTGTACAAAACCTCCACAGGCTGAAAAAGCGCTCCATCAGGAACACAGTCTCCAAGTGAAGAACAAGATAAAATAATAATATCAAAAAATGCTACAGCAGACTGCAGAAACATAGGGTTTTTCACATTCTGCCTTGCCCCTCGGTGTCCCTCCTGATCGGGCTCTCCATACATTCTGCCAGAACTTTGATAAATTTGGCTTTCCCCTGCCCTTTTCTCACACTACTCTGAACTCCCCAACCACAGCAGACAATATTCCTGAATTTCCCTGTGACCTCTTCCTGCCATGATACCCTTGGGGTCTCCACTGTGCTCTGCTAGTGTCCTCAGCAGCCATGGGGTGTAATCGTCATCACACCTCAGCATTTTAGTTCTGAGGACTTTCTTCTCAACCAATCACAAGTGCCAGTTGTTGGCCTGCCCTCCCCTATCTCTGATAAATCTTGTGTTAAGCATTTCAGATTCCAGAGTCCTGGTTATATGAGTGTACACAAGATTATTTTCTAACCTATTTCACAGGAGTGAGAGACAGTTGCATTTCAAGAGTAAACAGCATGCAACCTACTTGTCCTTGAGAGACAAACTTCATTTCATAGTCAGCAACTCAATGCAGGTGGCTTGGGGAAGATGGAGCAGAGGATGTGATCTGTGCCAACTCTTTTAGCCAAATTCACCTACTCCTGTTAACATTTTGTCACTGCATATAATTATGTCATTGTGGGGAAAATTTTAATTTTCACAATCAATACTTTCAGGCATCAAAAGACAATAGTTAATTTAAGAGAGACTTATCCTTAGTATTATTCTTCCAGCTGGCATTTACCCATGTGTACAAAATGATGAAAGCCAGGAGTGAATTTTTCATTGCTTGATCTCTCTACAGACATTGGCAGGAGTGGGCAAAATAGTAGCAGCAAAATAGTCCTGCAATATGGTTTTTTATCCCCTGAGAAACCAGGAAAGACATCTTCTAGACTCAAAATTTTCTTGAATTATAAAGATCATTACAACTGCAGAACGTAGGCTTACACTCTGGTTTCAGCTTTCCTCTCATTCTGTACTAACTTGCTCTCTGCAGTGTTTCCTCCACAAAGGAGCAGGCAATCTGTCTTATACTTAATTCTCCATTAAATAGTAGGTAAAATGCAAATAACAGTTCCTCATTTAAATGAGTTACTTACTGAAATTAGGTACATTCCATAGGCACCTTCCTCAACAGAACCTGGAGGAAAACCTATTCAGATTCCTGTTTAAAAATATGACAACTGAAGATCTTCCTCCTTCTTCCAGTTTCTACACCTCCCTGCTGTGCAGGAGAGTGTGAAAGGCAAAGAGTTAAATATTCAGGGGAAGCATATGCAAAAGCAGAAATGGCTGCAGCTTTTAATTTCCCCCACCAGTGTCTCTGTTGTGCTCCCAGTCTGACTGGTTGGATAAGATATTTTAATGGTTCAGAGTTCAAGCTTCAGCCTATATAATCCTCCTCATTCATCAACAAGCCTCTTCATTGTTTATTGAAGTGGCAGAAGTGATTTGTTGTCCTGTGAGAAACAGACTTTTCCTGCTATGTCTTGTATTGTATGTGCATCCAGAAAGAAAACATTGCCTGTTTAACTTCCTCTATACTTCTCTGCTTTTGCCTTATGCAAAAAGGCCTAACTCGAAAGGCAGCAAACTGGCAGTTTTACTAACATGACCATCCTCTTTATCTCCAAGACAGCTGTAGCACACCTAGAAACCATCCTAACCACACACAGCTGCTGCACCATAGCCTCAAGATGGGTTCTTGACCTACTTTCACATTCTAAGACTTAAAACTGTGGCTTACAGCTGATAGACTGTGACTGATCTTTTGGTCAACTTAAGCCCACAGAGGTGTAGAGACTCAGACAAAAATGGGCTAATGTGTAAGTCTCAAACAACAACAGTCAGGTGGCTGCAGACCCAACCAAGAACTGTAGGTAATAGCACACTGTGGGAAAGAACAGGATGTGGCTGGGGAAGGGGCCATGCAGAGGAAGGGCAGCACATTTCTAGAACAAACACCCTTGACGTAGTTTCTGCAGATAAGCACAACATGGCACAGCATAGGAATGATCTAAAAGTGAAAAACCTCCCATCATTATCCTAAGCATCTGCTTTGCCTCATGAGCTTTGCCTCTCAAAGTAGCAGGTTTTCTTAATCAAGAAAAACTAAAAGTCTAATTTTTTTTAATGGCAATTCTATTGTGATTTTCAGTTCAGCCCTGCAGTATTTGTTATTTAGAATTCAGAAATAGGACTTGATTCTCACTCTGCTATAAACCAGGTAATTCCTATCTATTATTTTGAGTCCTGCTGATCTTTCTCCAGAAGAATTCTAACTTAATTTTGCCTAGTCCTGCAAATACCTCCTTCAATTTTTTGTATTTTTTTAATGAAGCAAACATCATGGGATCACAAAACAGTTTGGAAAAGGACCTTCAAAGACCATGCAGTTCTAACCCCCAACCGTTTCGTCCATACAGCCTGACCCCAAATATTTATAGGGATGGGCATCCACAACTTTCTCAAGACAACCTGTTCCAACTTTTCACCACCCTCATTGGAATTTTTCCTTATATCCGATATAAACCTACTCTATTTAGCTGTGAACCTGCTGCTAGTTATGCTGTCATTGCCGGCCCTGGTCTGACGTCTCCCTCTATCCCGCCGGCAGGGAGAGACTCCCTGAGAAAAGGAGCAGAAGCACCACCCAGCTTTCAAACTTAAGGGTTAACATGTACCTTCTGCGTTTCTTTCAGGAAAGTTCCTAAAACCACCAGAGGCTGTCTCCCGCAGCCCTCTAGCCACGCCTTCAACTCCTGCGGCTCGCTCCGGGGCGGTGAGGGATGGGCTGGCGGAGGAGGCCCGTGCAGCAGGCGGGGCCGTGGGCCTGGCGAGTGTGACCTCCCCTGCTCCGGCCGCCGGGGACGGGCACCGCCCCGGGAAGGGGGAAGGGACGTCGCGCTGTCCAGCAGGCCCGGCCCGGGACCGTGTTTAACGTCTTCTATCCTTCTCTGCATTTTCCTTATGATTAAGCACACTGAAAAACAGCAGATTGGCAGTTTCATTCACATGACCACCCCCTTTATCTGTAGGACAGCTGTTGCACACGTGGAAACTACCCAGACCACACATACGGCTTGATTGGATGGATGGGCGGAGTCCAATAAGATGACGTTTAATAAGTCCAAGTGCCAAGTCCTGCATTTTGGCCACAATAACTCCCTGCAGTGCTACAGGCTGGGGACAGTGTGGCTGGACAGTGCCCAGGCAGAAAGGGACCTGGCGGTACTGGTGACAGCCAGCCGACCATGAGCCAGCAGTGTGCCCTGGTGGCCAAGAAGGCCAATGGCTCCTGGCTTGGATCAGGAGTAGCATGGCCAGCAGGAGCAGGGAGGTCCTTCTTCCCCTGTACTTGGCACCGGTGAGGCCGCTCCATGAGTGCTGTGTCCAGTTCTGGCCTCTCAGTTCAGGAAGGATGTTGAGACGCTTGAGCGCATCCAGAGGAGGCAACGAGGCTGGTGAGGGGCTGGGAACACAAACCCTGTGAGGAATGGCTGAGGGAGCTGGGTTTGTTCAGCCTGGAGAAAAGGAGACTCGGAGGTGACCTTATCATCTCTACAACTTCCTGAGAGTCTCTTTCTCCAGGCAACCACTGACAGAACAAGAGAACAGTCTTCAGCTGTGCCAAGGGAAATATAGGTTAGATATTAGGAAAAAGTTTTTTTATAGAAAGAGTAATAAAGTACTGGAATTATCTGCCCGGGGGGGTGGTGGAGTCACCATTCCCTGGATGTGTTTTAAAAAAAAGACTGGTTGTGGCACTCCGTGCCGTGGTCTAGTTGGGGTGTTAGGACATGTGTTAGGGTTGGACTCGATGATCTTGAAGGTCTCTTCAAACCTACTGATTCTGTGATTCTGTCTGTGATGTCGCACAAAACCGGCCGCGGCGGCGCTGGAAGCGAAGGACAAGCGGGACACGGAGCCGGGACACTGTCCCAGGACACAGCTACAGCCCGGCGCCGCGGAGCGCCAACCGCGTCCTGCCCTGGGCCGCCGAACTCTCCCAAGCGTTTGTTTTCGTGAAACACACAATCAACCTAGGGTCGCGAGCCTGGGCAATGAGCGGGCGCGAGGGGCGGCACGGCCGCCGGGCGGAGTTTGGTGTCCCGTTACCGCCCGCTCTCTCCGTGAGGGCGGCCGTGGCGCGTCCCCTGGTCCCCGGGGAACGCGGCCCTGGCGGCGGCCGAAGGGTGCCCATGGTGTAGGACAGCACCGGAGTTTGGGCTCTCCAAGGGCTCCGGGGCAAGGGAGCTTCCCGGTTAATCTCAGTTTTACCTCGTTGTATGAAGAGACACTTGGAACACCCAGCGTCTGAGGTTTGGCACCGGTTTAAAATGCTGTAAAGCCATTACAAACCACCCGTCGCGTTCCTTCCGCAAATACCGGCAATAACACCCGGAAAACGGATACCCACTGAGCCTGAGAAAGCATTGGATAAAAGCTATGCAGTGTGATGTATAAAGTCAGTGCGCCGAAGCGTCTCCGTCTCTCTCTTAACAGTCCGTCCCATCCACTGATGGTTTTCATTAAAGGAAATTAAAGGCAATACTTTGTGTCACATTTTCGGTGAACGCTGAAGTTCTAAAACTCCATTTTCGCCCCGAGCATTTTTTACATCCTAGAATTTCACTAAACAGAGGTTAGTTGCAATCATTTATCTGCCTCTGTAGTGACAGAACTTAGTGTTTGTACTTAACGTGGCTGGAGCCTGCAATTGTGTAATAAATACTGGTTATTACTGGGGGTTTTACAACTAACTTTGAAAATAAAGAGTTGCTCTGGATCAGAGTATTTGGGGAGAAGCTGGAAGACAACTGTAACAGGGTAATGATGTTTGCTAGTGAAGGGTTTGACACAATGGTCTTTTATTACTGATACCAAAAATCTTTATTTTTCACAAGCACAGTATATATGAGCTAATTCTTTCTACTTAATTTCAAAATGGATCACAAATAATATGCAGCATACAGATGATGACCAGTAACCTTAAGGTCAGATTCTTGCTGAATTCACATGTAAATCTAAAATGTATATGCTCTTATTTTTTATTGCAATGTTACTTTGTCTCAGCTGCAAAAATCAACTGACTTTAGAGTAAAATAAAGTAGGAAATTCCTCATTTCCTTATAGATGGCTGAATCAGAATCTCAGGAAGGAAACTATGATAACAGGGGAAACAAGGTGGAGATCTTCAAAACAGACATGGAAGAACTTATGGAGAAAATGGAAAAACAAACCGGTAGAGGTTTTTATTAAGAATTATATGGATTTTCATACTAGAGACACTGAAGATTTATTTTTTATATTTATTCTGTAAATTTCTGTGTGATAGAGATACAATTAAAGCAATCACCATCAACTAAGGCCCTTGTGCTCTTAATTGTGAAAAAGCGTGCAAATAATTTAGGCAGTTCTGATGGCTCAGAATTAAAAATCAATAGGTGATGGATGCTTAGTTCAGAGTGTTAGTTAAAAACAGAAATACTACTAAGATGTTTAACATACAGTTATTAAAATACAGTATATAAAATGAGAATTCGGGAAAATGGATATGTAACACCTCTCAGGTCAGTGTACTATAGTGAATTATTGGTAAAATAAAAGGGAAAGTACATAAGTGTACATAATTGCTAAAACTATTTGCTCAGTGTTATCAGATACTCATTATTTCAAAATCAATTTCATTATTTAAGTTACTGATTATTTCAAGATCAATTTCATTACTTAAGCTGTCCTTAAAATATTTCATCTCTGTTGCAGTCTTCGTGATCTTACTCTTCCTCACCTCACACAAGCTGTAACTGGTCTGAAGGGAGGATTCCTTATATAATATTAATATATTTTAAAACAGTGCCTTAACCCTTTCCATTTGATTAACTATTTTGTTGTCATTTTTAGGTGAAGTGTCCATCCCCGTTTCATAATTTACATCAGTGTTCTTCCATTATGAACTATTTTGATACATTTATAAAGAAATAATACTGAACAGTGTATTTAACTTCAGTATTACTGTAGGCAGTTTCCATTTTATTTTCCAGCCTTCTCTGAGATCTGAACTGATAATAATTAATTTTATTTATTGAATTTATTTATTGAATCAGCCATTGCTTTTTCCTAGCCAGGAAATAATACCTGTTGTGTTTGCAGTGTGTGCAGCCCAGATGGCCTATGACTGTGTAGCTATCCGGACCGACCCAGACCTACACAACGCCATGCAGCACTTGAAAGATGTCTTCCTGATATGCAAAGAGCAGATGGAAAAGAAATGGCAAGACGTTCTAACGGAATCTAGAGGTGATGGGCAAAAAAAGGAATAAACTGAACTTGGTCATGCTGGCAGAACAACATCCCTTGGAAAATCACTTAGGTCCTTTTTTTCTCCCAGCTGTGAAGATTTCACAGGCACTGTGGGAAATGGATTTTCTTTCCTCTTGCTAAGAACTCATTTGTCAATGTCTGTGGATGTATTTTAATAAGATTACACATATAGCTTTGTATAGCTGAGTGTAAAAAGCAGCAATGTGTTATTTGCATGATGCCCATCAGTAATCCTAGTAGTGTTTGCACACACAATTTAAAGACCCTCTGTCCTCTTCCCTGGAAGATCATATTCATTCTGTGGTCAGTTTAACTGGAATTCTTTGAGACCTGAAGAAACTGGAGGGATGCTGTAGAGGACCATACAGTGGCATTGTGCCAGCCTATGCCTTGCTTCTTCTTCAAAATGAAACACAGGTGAAATTCTAGATTGGCAGATAGATTGAGTTGGTTTTATTTAGGATTATCATCTAAGTGTTCAGTTACACAGTTTTATTATTTAGATAGATCATCTATAGGTGTTTCATCTTCTTTCATCAGATTTTTAACCATTTCTTTGAACTGGTTTCCCCAGAAAGATTGTTCGTCTCAAACCCTCTGAAGCTAGCATGCAATAAATTTTTTTTACCATAATAGACTACAGTGTGTGTGGTGGCATTGCTACAGAAACCAAACTAACCATGTTATAGAACATGCTTATCTCTGTATGTTTTTACTGTGCAATTGTAGAAAACTACCAAAAAAAATTACTTTTTTAGTTAGGATGTGGATTAAGAGCAGCACCTTGCGGTTATACATAGATCAGTAATTTACCAGAGATGGAAGTCAGTGCAGTAAGTTTTAAGGATCTTCCCTTTTATTAAAATCAGTCTCTTTTAACTAGGAAGCAAGCACTATGAAGCAATTGAGAGCTTGCTCCATCACTTCTGAAGAGGTATTTAATGATTTAAATCACATCTAAATGATCCCCAAAAGTTTGCCAATTTTTAGGCTGTATAGTTCTTTGATCTAAATTCAGACAATGTTTATACGCTGAAGTAAAAAATATGTAGGCAATTTAACTTTGTTGGGTTCCTTTTGTTTTGTTATTTTTTTTTTTGTTTGTGGCACCAAGTATGTCTAGGGGTACAAATGATAAGAACAACTTTCATCTCTACACTTGACATTCCCACGAGTAGGTCTTCTCCCTAAGATTTTCTACCCAGTTATGTGATTATTCCAAGCAAAAAGTTAGGGATAGGCAGCAATGCTTATTCCTAGAAAATCTATACAGCAAGGTATTTATACTTTGGGTTTTTTCCCCTTTATTTATTCACTGAGTTATAACTCCCCAGCTACCCTATTTCAGCCCGGCTAGAGCCTGCAGCAGAGCCCAGATAGCGCACATTGCAACACCTTTATTTCCTGTCACAGGGGTGTGTCCATGAATTTCCAGAAAAAAATAAGTGAAGTAACAGCCCCATCTAGTGCTCACATAACTGTACCAGTAAACTGGATTGCTGACATCTCTTAAATCCCCAGCACGCCATTTTCTGTGATGAGAATTATTGTGTGGTATGGTATGTAACAGTGCAATGCTTTCACCACCCATGGCACAGCAATCTTAGTTATGCACTGCACCTGTTGGCAGGTCAACAGGCTGATGCCCAAGAGTAACCTACCCAAGAGCCATCAACTAGATAATAATAAATATTCTCAATATTCTGTTTTAAGTTTCCACTGACAATTTCTTGCCAAGAAAATTAAGAGACTTATACAGAACTTCCTGTATAATTTTGATGATTGAAAGCTGCCCTTCTCTTCAGTGTAAAACAACTGAAAGGGGACTGAAATGGGAACATTTCACACATCCACTCAGGCATCTTGACCTTGTCAGAACACATCCTAGAGCTCTGCCTAGAATATTTATTTCATTTACTACTACTGCCCTCCAGTTCTTCATTACAGGCCCAATTCAGGTTATCTCAGAAAAGCTGAAGAATCTGTATGAACTGTTTTACCTTTTAGCATATTTTCAGAATTTCAGTCCAGATTCTTGCAGCAATTTTTCCTGAAATTCAATCTGTAACACCTTTTTATACACATACTATTAAAATAGTGTTCTTTTTTTTCTGAACAAAAACTGTATCATAGAGGCACTACTGGCATGAAAGTGGCAGTATAACTGATTAATTCTAAGGACCTTTGTGGTCTTACTCAGGTCACCATTTACAAGTCAAAACTTACAGCCAAACATTGAAGAATAATATATTTTGATGTTAGTCAGGAAATACAATGAAGCTCTGAGTCTTTTCTATCACATTTTAAAACCTTATGATATTAATTACTCATTTCATCAGCTGGTGGTATTAAAAGTCATCAAGATTCATTTTCTGCTCAGTGCATCACTGTCCTGCTCTAGGACTCAAAATTCAATCATAGCAGCCTTGCTCCATTATTGCAAACAGCACAAAATAGGAAGTTCAGGCTACCACTTATTTGATATGGCCTCCAAAATCTTCTCATCCCCTTTATACCTGAGGAAGGATCCCACTGCCACTTGGCTCATGCAGATGCTTCTCCCTACAACTCTGAGCATTTCAGAGCATGGATTTTCTCTCTACAAAATCTCAGCAGTGCTAAAGGCTCCTTGGCCCTCCTAAAAGCCAAACCAGCAGAAAGCAGAACGATGTCTAAGGCCATAGCTTTGAACTAGGGATCTGCAAAGAGACTTCTCTAAAAAGCCACAACAAATAACAGAGTCAGACATCCACAGCTGATTTCACCCCTCTTATGTGTGGCACAGGCTTTATTTCTAAAGTTTTTTTCCAACAGAAAGAGTTTTACTTCCAAGGCACTTGTTGCACCTGTGTAGTTCTCCCATGGCAGCACCACTGTCCAAGACAGAAGCTTACAGTACACCTATCTCTCCAGACTCTGAATGCAATTATGTTCAAATGAAACAATGCACAAAGGAAGGCCTACAAAAGTATTTTCTCCCTTTTTTATCCTCCTCAAAAGTTCACAAGCCACAGGAAATGTTTTTGCAGCACATTAACTACTCTGCTAAATGTCTTTTTAAGAAACCAAACCAACACAACACAAACTAAGCTCTCATCTGAAATTCTGCTTGAGGCAAATAAGCCATAGCCTTATCTACAGATACACAAGCACCAGCTGTCCAGAGAAATGACCCTCATAATTGAGCACCAGGTTTGTATCTTTTTCCTGGCAAATTCAGTTAACAAGAGTGCTAGTGGCCTAGAAAAGGAACAATTTATGCACAGCCCAAGACATCTGAAATGTAATTTTAGTAAGTGCTTTAAACTTTGGTAGAGTTAGGCTTGTATTTTTCATAAGCAGGGAATTAAGGGATGAAGTAGGTTATGTCAGTCATTGGCTTCTGTTTTATGCAAATATTCTTATTGGGGGCAAGACAGAAAAAACAAATAGAACTCAATACTAGGACATCACTTGCATCTCTCCCTCATCTTCTCCATTCATAAAAAAAAAAGCTAATTAGGTACTTTTGCTAACCTGATTCAATCTGACTTACATTTTTGCAGAGATTAAGAAAATTCTCTTTAGCCTGTCAAATCTCTCAAGGAAAAAAACACCTTTTAAAGGCAGTTCAAGTAGTTTTTATGACAAGTTCTACAGTAACATTTCAGTATTTATGAATATCTTACATCTGCTCGTTATGGTGAAATTATCAACCTCGTCCCAATGTGTCTTCATATTTAGTTCATAACAAAATTTAAGCATAAAAAGATTTTTTAAAAAAAGGTGCTTAAGAATTTTTAAAAGGTACCATTACTTACATTTTTCTCACCTTGATGCATTTTATTTTGTGTCAAAACAGACGTATTTCTTCAACTTCCAAATAACCAAGCATACGGCTTTCACTTCCCAACTCATTAAGAAGTTCCTAATCCCTTGCAATTCAGTCAGCTGTAAACAGTGCAACTCAGGCACCACTAAGCCTTTTCCCACCCTCCTTCTCCTCAAGGCAAAGGCAACAGGATGCAAGGACCCTTCCTCACCTTCCCAGAAGCCGGAAGCAAAATTTCAAGTGCAATTGTGCCCTGCACTCTCTGCTTAATTCCTCAAGATTAACAGGAATATTTGTTTGAAAAACAAATATACTTATCTAAGGTTTGGGTAACAGCAACTGCAAGACAGGAACGTGAGAAACGCTGGACTAGACAATGAAGGACACAAGATACACACTCATATTCAAACAGCTGGACGCAGACTGATAACACTTGGAAGAAAGCCAAGTTTTATGGCGGAACATTACAAAACCACTGATATTATAAGACAGCTCAGGACTTTGCTCATTAAAATGAGATGGTACAGAGATTTCACTGGTTTGAAATAAGAGTAGAGAAGCCAGTCAAATATTATTCAGAACAGAAGCTTGGATAAAGTGGTAGTTACTATGCCAGTGTCCTTCTTGAGCAGTCTCAAAACCTGGATTCTGCTGTTTACAGAACACAAAAGCCTAGCAAAACAGATGAAGCAAAAAAATTCCAGGAACTCACTCCACATGCCCCAAACTCCTGCCCCAGGAAAACCCAACTATTAACCATCACTGGAGCCAGAGGAACAGAGGGAACAGTGTAAGTTATAGCTTTTCTTTGCAAAGGTTGTTTTGTAATAAAAATATATATCCACCAAATTATTAATATTATTAATAGAATATAGATATATCAATATACATATATATATTGACATATCTATTCTATTTTTATAATATATTATATTAATATATTATCCACCTAACCATGCTCAGGTATTATCCAGCAGTACACACCAAAGAGGCAGCTCTCTTTCACATATAAATGCTGAAGCAGCAAGATTAAAATAATTAATTATTTTAAGAATAAACATGAAAAAACACACTAAACCAGATTTCTTTTGGTAGTTGAAATCACTTTTATTTAAGAGGAACATCACCCATGTGCACAGCTTCAAATAGATCTTAACAAGGAAAGCGGAAGTTTGTCCTCCCCACATCCTGCAGTGAACAGGACTGGCACAGAAAAAAAAAAACAACTCACACTTGGGAGGTTTAGCACCAGCATCCAATAAAAAAAGCATTTTGTTTCAATTTTAGTTCTTTGGTTGGTTTTTTTTTTTTTCCCCTTTTCAGTTTAATACCAAAAGAAAAACTGAAAAAAAACCCCAATACTAGCAAAACAGTGAAATTCTAGGGAAAAAAACACCACAAAACAAGAAGCCCCACAGTTGCTGTTGAAACTAGAGAGGCTGTTCTTTCTGAATCTCGCTCTCTTTCTCTTCATGCATCTATCTTGTAGGCGTTCCCTGGATCTCAGCTGCTGGTAAATTTTCTTTTACATTTTGGTATTTCAAATCTTTGCTTTCGTCATCACTGTTGACAATTTATTGCTTGTGTGTTTCTTTGGTGTTACTTTTGAGCTGTACTTCAGGACACCTGTTGAAGAGCCAAATGTTTAAAAAAATGCAGTTTAGGTTTCACTTTCTCAATAAATAGACAAGATGTCAAATGTAAAGAGAGTTATAATAGGCAGGATAAGCACAACTGGCTTATCCTGTCTGTAATCAGGATCTGCCTAAAATAAAATAACTCATCAACAGATGCTATCACTATACAGACCAGAGAGCTTCCTGGAAAAATGAATCAATTATAAAGCAAAACTTTGTGACAAATACAGAAGCAGAGGGGAGAATGAAGAGAAAAGCAGCATCTTTGTTTGCCTCTACAGCACTCTCAGAACTTATCACAAATACCAAGCCATACATAAGGGCATGTGGCCAGAATCCTAGAAGCATACACACTCTGTTTCCTGCTGGAAAGCAGGAACTATCCATATTCCTTACCTGAACGATGGTAAAGGTGCCTGGGGAGCCGGACATTACTCAGCACCACTCTGCTCTGTCACTGGAGCAGGATTTTCAGCAGGTGTTTCATTTGCCTTTGTCTGAGACACAGCAAACTCTTATTATAGGCAAAGGCTGACCTCCACACCCTTCCTCTCTTCAGTGGTACAGCCAGCATAATGCAGGTTTTAGAACAACCAAGAAAAATGAATCTCCAGAAAATGTTAAATTTTAGTGTATTACCTGTAATTCAGTATTACACAGAAGATTCTGTCAAGGAAATACCTCAAGTAGACACTGAATGAGAAAATCTTCCCTCATTAAAGTAGAATCTGTGTTTGCAAACAGTATCCTGAAATTATCTCATTCAAACAGTTCAGGAAATAGACCTAGAGCTTTCAAATCCAATTCTCTTCAGAGTTAAGGTTTGTGGAAGCAGGAACACACAACTGTTTCCACTTAAAAAATAGTTGCTACAGTCTGTCCCCAATTAAGAACTATCCAGAAGCAATCCCTATCCCACTGCTGGTTCCTTTTAAGATAAGGTGCTTATTCTCCAAGAGGGTCAGAAGAAGCAGGCAATGAAATCAGTGCATCAAATTTGGTAATCAGACTTATCCAGCACATGAACACATTTAATAAAAACTCACACAGGGCAGAAGGTCCTGGGCATTCACCACATTAAAATCTCTTCTACTTAAAATCATAAAATGGTTTGGGTTGGAAGGGGACCTTGAAGATCACCTCATTCCAATCCTCTGCCATGGCCAGGAGACACCTTCCACTATCCCAGGTTGCTCAGAGCCCCATCCAGCCTGGCCTTGAACTCTTCCAGGGATCGGGCAGCCAGAGCTTCCCTGGGCAACCTGTGCCAGGGCCTCACAAGGAAAAATATCATCCTCACAGGAAACTTTTTTTTCCTCTAATCTAATCTAAACCTACTCTCTTTCAATCTTAACTCATTCCCCCTTGTCCTGTCACTACAGGCCCTTGCAACAGGTTTACCTCATCTTTCCTTTCAGGCCCTGGAAGGCCACAATGAGGTCAACCCAAGCCTTCTCTTCCCCAGGCTGAACCATCCCATTTCCCCCAGCCTTTCCTCCCAGGAGAGGTGCTCATGGCTCTGAACAGCTTGTTGTCTGTACCTCTTTGCCCTCCTGTGCTGGAGCGCTGGCTGGGCGCGGCCGGCGCCGGTAGTTGTAGGGGCGCCGGTAGCCACGGCGCAATGGCTGCTGGCTCATGGCACTGGCCTCATGATGGTTCTCCTTGTTTTCAACCTCTCCTGTCGCTGGAGCAGGGCGTGGGCGAGGGGGCCCTCTGAGAAGGGCAGAATGAGGTGTTAAGTATGAAAGAAGCCCAAGAAAGGTTAAACTACAGTAATTTTAGTCCAGCAAAACCTCCCATAACCCAGTATCATCTTCAACAATTTTGAATGCTGACCATTCAAACCATCCCTTGGGGGTTTGGCTGGCATATAGTTGGAAAGGAAAGACAAAGAAAGTGTGTGTCTCTTCACTGCTGAAGCTCCATCACCATATTATACTGTCTATTCTGCAATGAAGATGCAGTTAGCCTCTCTGAACTGCTGGCTAGCAGAAGAAACAAGCCAGTAGTGGCGACACAGGCTGTTTGTGCCGAGTTAGCTTTGGCATGACTAAATACCAGCCCAGGCCTATTCCTAATTAATGGTGCAGTCATTGTAACCTTACTCACTTCTACCTGCAAACCATTCCTAGATCTTTGCTCTTGGCCTCATGTTTCTCCTCTTAAACAACTAGGAAAAGCACCTATCACAGGTGAGCTGGACCTCATTAACACTAAGCTATCAAGTCCATGTTCTTGATGTATACAAGAGCATTTAATCTTATTTTTAGTATAAACAATGTTTGTAAACTGTCAAAATACAGCCAAAATCCAGTTCCCATTAGCTAATCCACAGATGCCTAGTACCAAAAACCAATTTAAGCTTTTCCAAAGGAACCTAACAAAAGTACTAGTGTCACTGGATTTAGTGCCTGTAAACAAAAGCAATACCTGCAAACTCAAACAGAAGCACTGTGAACTGATAGGAGATATCATTCCTCTCACAGGAAAATTTCATCAGAAAATCCCAAGTTTCCATTACTCACAGACAAGTTATTCAGCCTGTGATTCAACCACATGACATGCAAAAGCCTCACTGGACTTGGTATGGTGCTATCTCTGACTGCCCAAAACTAATGAAGACTTTCAGGAACTGAATTTATTCAGCTTGGATGCCTACAAGCATCATTAGTATTCCATTTTCCACAGTCCTAGATAAAGGAGCCAAATTGAACATGATTATTCATAAACAGAAAAGCTCAAAGTAGAGGTGGAAGACTTGTGCTTTTAGACCCAGATTCCAAAAGGATGGATCTGTTGTACATGGAACAGGCAAATCATTACAATTAAGAATAATCTTGTTATCCCTATCAAATTCAGCTTATTGCTGCTCTTGCACTGTAATTCACCTCTTTGTTTTTGAACAGACATGCACATGAAGAAATGGGGATCACATAATTTTCACAGTTCATCTTTAAATTCAATGTTGGAATTTGACTTCATAAGCTACTTGATAAACAAGGACAACATGATGAGGGGCAACTGAATGAATGGCAGGCAAACCAGCTCCTTGAGGACCTTTAAATGTCATTTGTCCAACCCCCTTCAAACTAGATCACATTGCTCAGAGCCCAGTCCAACCTGACCTTGTAAGGGGCATCTACCACCTCTCTGGGCAACCTGTTTCAGTGTTCTACCAGACTCACGTAAAAACAGTCTTCCTTCTACTTACTGTAAATCTCTTGTAGTTTAAAACCATTACCCCTCACGCTAACACAACAGTACCTGCTAAAAAGTTTAACCCCATCTTTCTTACAAGCCCCATTCAAGTACTGGGCAGTCATGCCCGTTGGCCATGCTGCTTCTGCTGCAGCCCAGGATGTGGTTGCTTTGTGGGCTGCAACTCCACATTTACCAGCTCGCACACAGTTTTCACCCACCAGCACCCCCAGCAGGGTCCCAGATCAAGGATTTGGGTTATTACTTGTCCAGGAAAGTGTAAGTGTTCAGCTGGGATAACATGGATACTGCAACTAACTTCAACATGCTACTCAGATGTGAGAAGTAATGGGATTCTAAGCAATTCTTTTCCCTTTCTGGGCCATCATGATTCTGAACATACAAGCACATGAAACAAATTTCTCCAAGTAATTAAAATGCTTCTCACTGTCCCTGCCATTTGTGTAAGTGCTCCCACACTTGGAAGCCTGTATAGAACACAAAAGCATCTGAATAACTGAGCAAAGGAACCATACAGACCTGCGATAGCGGGGACGATAGGTAGGATTCCTGTGCACTTGCTGAAGTTGTCCTCCTTCTGTGACCCCATCCTTGATTTCTCCCTCACCACCCTGCTACCAAAAGAAAACAGAAGTATTGTATTTGACAGGCAGTACATTAACCATAACCCTGAATGCAAGCTCAAAAACTTATCAGTACAGAAACCCCAGCATACTGGGTAAAAAGCAGTAGATTCTTTTTAGGCTTAAATTTGGGCAAAGTTAAGATAAGGACAAAACACGAGCCATCAGTGCTGCCCCTCCTCCCCACAGACTAAGAAACTGATCTTAGAAATGTTCTCTCTACTGCATATTAAGTGTATTTCACTACATCAAATGCACTGTAAGGGGTACACATTATGCAGAGGCAGCTATTGATCACGACAGTTCTGTATTTGGAAAGCTAACAAAGACATCACACAGAAACTTGCCACAGACCTCTTCACATTCTACACAAAGGCCCATTCCACAGGGAATCCCCCACAAAAACATCAAGAAATTTTAAGATAGAAAAACTGTACTACTCACATCAAACACTCTTTCTACACAGTCTTTTCAATCCTTCAGAGATGCAGTGGTTATCTTTCCCCTTTAATTGTTAATTGATAAAGCTGCATGTTGGTTTGGGTGGCATTTTTTCTGGTTTGATTTTTGTTTGTGGTTTGTGTTTTAAATGCCAGCCATTGTTAATGTCTGTTTTATACAATGTTACATGACTTACAGTTCCTTGTGTACTAGTCTTCCCTTTAAAAGAAGGAATTTAACAAGATATCTAGAAACAGAAGTGCATTTTCTGCATCTGATGAAGTAGGAAAAAAAGCTGTAGCCACCTGACAGCACTTGGTAGTCTACCTTAAGTTTCACAGGTATCCTTCCCATTCTCCACTGCCATTTTAATTACCATGACCATACACAATTAAAAACCCCACAATCATCTGTGATGCTGTCTCACGTATCAAAGTGATAAGGATAACTAAATATTCAAACAAACTAGGATGGACAGTGGGAACAGGTTTTTGACAGTATTTGACAGTAGTCAAGGTATAATTGAGACTCAGAACTCAAAAAAATAATGCTTCTCAGTTTATGAAGCTTTCTAGTACTTATCCACTTTGTAATACCAATCTGTTCTGGTTTTGTCAAGATGCCTTGTACACCACAACTTGAAAGTTTATTAGACTTATGTTGCATGGTCAGACGTGCCTCAGACAGTCAAGTAAGAAACAGCCCTGCCAGTATTGTGTGTGGCAGTAGCAATCCAAGGAAATTGAACTCACACTCCGAGGTGGACCCCGGCGTCGGCCAAAGTAGCCTCGCCGATAGCGGCGCCGGTCTGCAGCATAGCGGCTGCCTTCCACAGGGACTCCATCTGGACCAGTGACATTAGCTGCTTCTGCACCCTAAGAGAACAAAAGAAAGGCAGCCAGGGTGGTGTGAGAAAAGAACAACCAGCTGTATGAATGCCACCAACCCAGTGATCAACACATCAGCTAGACACACAGCTAATGTTGTATGTGATGTTCTCTCTGTTGGACCACATCCTGAGGCTCCATGATCTCTCACCTTCTCTCCCTCGACCACATCAAATTCTACAATCTCTCCATCGCCAACACTGCGCAGGTATTTCCGTGGATTGTTTTTCTTTATCGCCGTCTTGAAAGGAAGATGCATAAAAATATATTATCTTACTTATCTTACACATTCACAGCCTGACAGATGAGGGAAGGGCAGTATTTCTCTGCTAACATTCCAACTCTATATACCAGAGCAGTCACCATACTAAGGTATTTCAGATACACAGATGTTTCTTATTTCACAGGCCCACCAATACTCAGTTCAAGATCACCTGTTTTCTCACTATGAGTTTATAAATCAGCTGCTGTCCCAGGATCTGCTCTGTCCAGGACACTGAATATGGAAATTATTACCAATCTCTCCTTGAACAGGGTTCATACTCAGTGTTTGATCTCCTCCAAGATGTAGCAAGGCAGCTCTAGCAGCATGACCCCTGCCTTCAGTCATTAGGAGAGCTGTAGACCATCTAAAGAGAACTCAAGACCCAGAGCATTTCTGTGGAAGCATTAACTATATGGTATCATGGCAAGTCACAGTAACTAAAAATAATTACTGTAACTCTGGTGTAATAAATTAGCATTTTATCTAAGTACTGTAATGAGACTCCCAAATATTAGGTGAGTCTGTGATAACACAGGAATAGTACCAGAACAGACAAATGCAATCTTAGCCACCTCCTGGACAGAACCCCCAAAGTACTACAATAATAGCTATGAATGATAATAATACTATTATTTTTACATAAAAATAACAACATGGGTTTGGATCGAAGCCAGTTGTACATCTCCTCAGACTCACAGAAACACTCAAACCTCCTGGAGCAATTTTCAGTGTGTCAGCTACAAACACCTTGCTTGTAATTCTGTGGAGCATTTCTAGGACTCCACAAAAGGTTATTAGCAAGGCAAGGCTATGGTCTGTTCATTAGGCAAAGATGCCAAGGAGAAAAGATCATTAGACATGCATTGTACAAACTAATCTGGTAGTTATTTTCTTAGTGAAACATCATTATCTTGCATTAGATTACTAAAGACCAATTCACATTACGTTTCCTGATACGGGAATCTGTAGTTAGCAAGAAGAAGGGAGGTGCAGAGACAGCAGAGAGAAATACACATGGAAACACAGGGCATAAACCCGACTTAGGAAATGGGATGTAGGGCAGGAACAGAAGAGTGAGTTGTTCTATCTGTCTGCAGTTCAGAAAAACTGCAGAATGACCATCAGTGGAGCTGTTACCTTTGCATAGCAACAATATTTAGTCAACAGCCCCAGAAAGTCTTCAACTGAAGGAAAAATTTACTCAATTTAAAGCTCATATTGACTAGTCTAGAAACCAATTTTCGTTGCTGCTGAATACAGTCTCCTTTGTGTTTCAGGAAACAGACCAGCATGTCCTTCTAGCCATACCTTTTCCCTATATCCTGAAGCATCCCTGAACTGCCCTGAGGAAGGATGTAAGAGTGCACATACTACTATTATCAAAGCAAAAACATCTCAAGAGGTTTGGGGATTTCTAATACAGAAACTGAATGAGCTGTTCAAGGCAATTCCTTTGGGAATTACTGTAGCAAGCAGAGACTCCACAATGATCTCAAATAACTGTTTGCTTTCTGCTGACCTTTTAGTGTAACTGTCCAATTTCTAAAAAACAGATAGAAGTGCTTGCTTTTCCAGAAATGTTATATACGAGTACTAAAACCCTTAATCTGCAGGAAAGTTAATAATTTAGTTAATGTTTTAGTCCTATTTATACTGAAACAACTGACTACAACTTGTAAGACTTGTACTTTGCATGTGACAGAGATGTCAATAAGCTGTATTTCAAACTCCTTCCCTGTAAGTGCAGAAGAAGAAAGGACTAACAAATTTCTTTTCAGCAGAGGGTACACTTAAGATAGATGAAGGTTCTCAAATATCCTTCAAAAAGCATAACTGAAGATAAAAGCAACAGTATCCCACATGTTCTGTTCCCAGCTTTATGGGCAGAAATTTCAAGAATCCAGACCTGCAATTGCCAACAGAAGGTAGAGGCTGCAGTAGGCTGGAGCTTGTTTTATAAAGGCAATCAGGACAAATCTGAGTAAATCCTAGAAATCCAAGCAGAAATTATACAGCTTTATTACTTCAGCTGCAGATAAACATCACTGAAATAAGCCTCTAACAAGTCTAAGCCCTAAGCTTGATGAAATGACTTTTACTCTGTTTATCCAGAGGGGGCAGAGAGCACTATTCTCCCTGTTACTGTTTACCAGCTTCCCTGATTCAGAAGACAGATGTTTCATATTAACAGACAACACTCAACAGTAAAGCCTTTCCTTTCCCAGGGATGAAGAGGCAGCCAGAAGAGCCTCCAGAGCTAGTTCAGGTTGCTTGGAAGAGTTCTTTCCATAAGTTCATACCACCACATCATCAGCACATCCAGCACTGTCCCAGTAACAGCCAAAAATTGTTATACCAATTCCTGGTGCAGGTACTTCAGGCTGCACATGATCAACACAATCAAGAGAAGAGAATGATAAAAACGTCTCCTCACAGCTCATTGATTTAAACTCTGCCTAATTAAATGTAACTGCTCTGGCTGCTGACACTTTTCCTAATAAATTGTAAAACACACTGCAGCCCATGAGGCAGATGGATCCCTTCTGCTCACAGCACCTGTAGCTGACTGACACAGTGCCCTGGACAGCACTTTGCACCAACCAACGAGACAGGGACACAAGGTGAAGAACTGCCCTTTCCAAAAACATTGTCTGGGGTCCCTGCAAGACAAAGGGTTAACACAAAGCAAGCCATGCATGCCCTAAAAAGAAAAGCATTTTAGTCTGTACTAGTTATAAATAGCATCCAATAGCCAGACACCAAGCACTAACCCCCATTCCCTCCCTGTGCGAATGCATGCAGGGGAGGCAGGGAGAAGCTGTATCTATTCAACTAGGTCAACCTTATTCTGAAGGGATTAGGAGTGTAATCCAGCCCCTCCCAGGCAGGAGGGAGAGGCAGAGCAGCCACTGTCAGAGCAGAGGGAGTTTGAAGCAGGATGTTTGTTCACGGCATGGATTTGCCTCCCTCGTCAGATGGCCCCATCAGGAGCTCTGGCCAGAATGTCCCAGGATTTAGGAGCAAGCACATCCACGTACAGGATGAGGAACATCCAACTGCAGCCAAACCAGAGCAGCACTAGAAGCACCTACTCTGCCATGTCCAGCCTGCCAAGAGGGTTAATCTGATGCAGATCTGCACATGATGTGGTATTTCTGAAACAAAGCCAGTTTTGCTCACCCCAAAAGGACGTCAGCCACAGGAGATGGGAAGTGCCCATCCCTTTCCACACACCAGTTTACATTTAGGGGAATAATCTTCTCTACACGTGAAGGAGACAAAACAGCACAGATAATACTATATTATCTATATAGTATAGATAATATATATATATACTATATATATATATATATATATATACACACACTATTACTAAATAGAAACTAAATGCTTCTGTTTGGGTCTCAGCTGGCAGCCTTCCCAATGGCACAAAAGCCATTTTCCAGGATATTGTCTCAGAAGTATCAAGGAAATCTCATTTGTCTTTAAGGCACTGCTGCCTATCCAAAACATGTTTCTCTTCCAGAACTGTTCCCACTCTCCTCTGGACATAATCCCATCAGACCACAGATGTGTCAGCATGCCCACAGCACAGGCCACTAAGGAAGGAAAATGACCATAAAAAAATCAGTATACACATTGACAGCTCTCGCTCTTAAGCCCACCCGCTGAAGCTGGAGCATGTACTGTGCACACTTCCCAACACCATTTTCTCTCATAATAGGCACTAGATTTATCCTAGCTTCAGACACATTCAGACAATGTGTGTACACCCTATGGCCCAGAGAAACAGTTACCACTGTTACCACAGTTACCACTATTTAGTCATCAAGACACAAGAACTAAACTAACTCTCAGTGTTGACTCATCAGCTAAGGACACATGCACATATCCTCCTTCATTCGCAATGACTGACTCTGGGAACAAAATTCCTGGTTATGTTTGATAGAAATACTGTCACTTATGCCACAGAAAAAGTTCATGCTTTCAAAGACCACATGAGCCTGCAGACATTTTATATGGGACAAACTCTAGGGGCAAGATTGCAGTTTCTAGTGAATGATGTAAAACCAGACATAAGACAACTAATCAGTTGATATCAGCATGGAGACAGCATCCTCTGTCTTGCCATTATTTGCCTGCAACCTGAGAGTCACAGTATAAACTTAGAACAGCCTCCTGACAGCTCAAGGGAAATTAACCAATAACAAGCATCTGGGCAAACTCTCTGCTTGGGCACACTTGGCACACAGCCTTCCTCCTCTTCTGCCTAAGAGCAGCTGCCTCATGCAGAAACAGCTGATGGCAACCCAGGCTGGTTAGGAGCCAGACTAGATCACTTTCTCTCCAATACCAGGGAGGGAAGACAGAACAGACCTGCAAGTGAAGAGGGTAGGAAGAAACAAAAGACAAGGAGCATAAGGAACTAGAAGGAAGGACAGACAACAGTAGCAAGGTATTCACAGAGGAGGCATCTCACCAAGGGGAGACAACCAAACAAAAACCTCACCAAAAAAAACACCTTTAGTGTTCAAATTAGAGCAGACAAAAAAGGGTTAAGAAAGATAAAAATACCTAGCCCTTCATAGAGAAGGAAAACAACCTAATGTTTCTCCCTGAAAATTTCAACATACACATCCACTCAAGTTATCTGCCGAAAATATTCTAAGGAGAAGCCAGGACAAGGTTGGGTAGCTGTTGCAGGAAGCTGCATTAGAAACCTATCATAGTACACATCTCTAAGCATGATTACTGCTGTCTTACCTGATGAACAAACACATCTTCTTTGGTATCATTTCTGTAAAAGAAAGTGAGAAGTCATAAGAGTTTAGTCTAAAAAGACTTAACTAGAAATTCCTGGCTTTTCAAGTGAAACTCTCCTTCTCTTAGCCTGTAGCACATGCCCTGAATTCCATACATTCTGTCTAAGCCTATGCTACTAAAACCCCACTCTAAACTTCCATGATCATTTGCTTGAGAACAGAAAGGACTCCAGGGCCTTCAAAAGCATGAGAGGATGGGGGAGGTTCTTTGTAATCTTCTGGCATGCATTCAGTGTTTTCTTTTTATGCAGGGCAGAGTTGATGACTGGACTGCTTGTTTTTCACTACTCTAACTCCCCAAAAACACTTCCAGAGGGACTGCAATCTGAGCTGTTACTGCAGAGGTCAAACAAGACTACCAACAGGACTGGCCACAGCTGTTAACAGAGATCTCCTTTCAGTGAAACTCAAAGCAACTAGGCACAAGGGGTGTTAGGAGAGTCCACAGGAGGAGGACCCAGACATGAACATGAGGCTTTCTGGATTAGGCCAGACAGTTCAGGCTTCCACATGGCAAAACACAAAGGTAAATCTGAAACCTTGAATCTGTGTTCCCATAAAATAAGAAAGCAGCCTAAGCCCCCCCCACCCCATCTGTTCACTCAATTCCTTCTCAGCAAACCGAACAGGTGGGTCAAAGAGTTTGTGAAGATAATGCATAATCCCAAATTTGTTGTCCTGGATTGAAGCAACAGTAGACTTCAAGTTAGGAAGAAAGCTAATAAGTTATTACATCACAACCAGGTGAAGGCTCTTGTATCAACTGCTATTAGAGATTTTAAGAGGACTTCCTAACTAAAACTTTTCTTCTAAGTTTACATAACACTGGCTAATAACCTCCAGAGACTGGGATTACTACCACACCACTACCATCTTCAGATCCATGAATGTGAGGTCTTCTACCCCTTTCTGCACTGTCCAACTCAACCAAATCTACCTGATGTGTAACAGCTTGCAGAGTGAAATAACTTGCTAGGTATGTTTTTTGAAAGACTAGCACTCAGCACGCAGCAGTTACATTCCTCAAAAAAGTACACAAGACATTTAAGCCCCAAAGATATTTCAGCCTTAAAAGCCAGAGTTTCCTGCAGTAAATTGGAAGCATGGGTCTTCTGCACCTAAGGTTGCAGTACAATCAATCTCACATACAGCTGTTTGGATTCTCAGTGCTATTCAGAGGTTTGTCTGTGCCAAAAGAAGAGGGAAAAATCCAAAAGATACAAGGAGAGAATTTCTATGAAACCCAGGCTAAGCATATTGTCAGTGAGATACTATTAGAGAATCTCAGTGAGTATCTACAGGAGGTATTCTGACCAAGCAGTTAACACCGGAAGTTTATCCAAAAGTATTTCCCCTCATCCTCCTACCTTTCTAAAGCCTTTGAAAAAAGCCAGGCAGTCACTAAAGAATATGCAGCTCATTAAGAGTGTAGTAGAAGTAAACATGAGAAACAGATAACAGACCAAATTTGTAGTGAGTTCGACCCTTTCTTTTTTCTCCCCATACACATAACCTTTGATTGGGGGCTGAGGTGTTTAAGAAAGAGTTTGCTGAGTGCCTGGCCTAAGATGACTATCAGCTGCACAAACTTGTAGTCAGGTCCTGAGGTCTCTGCTGCAACTAGTAACACATGGCCTATCATGTGTACTATGAATCTTAGTACAGCATAAATACAGCTATCAGAATTTAAACATACCTGTTGATAAAGCCATATCCATTTCTGACATTGAACCACTTGACTGTGCCAAGAACTTTGGTGGCTGGAAAGAAAATTACAGAAGTTAATCTAAAATATAAGAAAGTACAATAATGTTAAGTAAATACTTCTGTAATTGCAGACAAAGTTGCAACCAAGACTTGGTCTGCTCCCTTAACACTCAAAGTGTGCTTTCATCTCCCAGTTCAGTTCATTCTAATCCAGTAACAAGATGCAGTGCTTTAACACATTATTCTTCAGCACAACACCTAGCTCTACTTTCAGAATTGACCATCCATCCCCTTTTTTATTTCTTATCCCAGAAATGGGCAGCAAAGCTGAAAATTCCACTGCCATTCATCAGTTCTCTTTAGGTTAACAGCTAGACATGAAATACAGCTGAAGGAAGACGTTTAAAATTCCTCTCTTTCACTTACAGTTACTCTTCTTTCTTCCTTGGAAACCAGAATTGCCCAAAGAAGCAGAATCAAGTACTGTGCAACCCTCCCAACTGGAAAGGCAGCACATCCTTATTCTGGAAAAGCTCCTTCTTGCACTGTCCGCATCACACTAACAATGTAAGACCCTACAAAAGTTTTGGTTTTTTTTGTAGTACTCCTACTGTTAAGATCTGTGATTGTTTGATTACTAAGTGACCAACTTCATATTCCATGACTTACATATCAAGGCAAGTTCCTGTCTCAACAGTAAAACACCACCTACTTAGAAGCCACACTGCAGTGTTTTATAGGACCTGGCAAAACCTGTTTCTCCAACTTATAGAAATGTGTAGGAGGAACTTGACAGTGATGGAGGCAGTTCAACCCCTCCTTATCTCACAACAACTGAATGGACATCACAAACTTGCACTTTTCAAACCTCTAGTAAAAGGAGAGTTTTAGCCTCTGTAACTTAAGAGCTGTTACTTGTTAACACAGCTTGATTACAACTACCTAAGCAACCTGTGCAGTACTTACTTGAAAAGGGTCTAGTCACCTACAGATGACTGCTTGCTAAAAACCTCACATACATATTTTGGGGGTGGCAAGAACCCAAGAGGCAATTAAAAGGAAAACAGACTAGAGAATCTCCAGTTTAGAAGTCCAGGCCGCTCTGCTAGAGGCAAGAACATAGTGTAAATTGTTACCTTCATCTACTCTACACCTGTGTTCTTTTCTAAATACTCACAAGGAGATGACAGAGCCAGGCAGACCTTTGGTCTCCTGGAGTTTTGCCATTCTCATACACCCCTCAAGTAAGCATGTGTGACAACAGCAGTGCACTGTAGCATTGCTGCTGCTATTATTGTCAATAACAGACCCTTTCTCATTGCCCTTTCAGAAGTGAAGTTTTTGGTCTCCTTTAGTACACTTTTTAGTAGAAATTGTTCTTATTTAGAAGCAGCAAAGTCTTAACATGACTGAGATATTACCTAGAAAAAAGGACTCTTGCTTAGTACAACATACATTTCCAAGAATTCTTGTTTATTGGAACAGAAAAACATTGTTTCAGTGCTCAACACTGGTTCAGTAAAGCGTTCAGCACCAGTATTTATAGCAGTCCTTTTAGGTTCAGTTTCACAGGGACATCACCACATACAGACACTTCTTGCTACCACAATGGCATTAGCTACAAGAGCTGCCTGCACTCACGAGGGGATGGGGGAACACAGAAATAGTGCCAACAGAACCTGCAGGTTTCAGCCTGCTTTGACGAACAATGCCAGTACCACTGCTTCCCTCAACATCATCCTTTCTCTCCCCTGCAAAACAGCTTTGGAATCTGTTAGCCTACTTGAACCAGATTAGGAAGAAGCCTAGGATGCATGACAAAATCCCTCAGAGGGGTCAAGAGGCTGGGGAGAGGCAGTCAAAATTCACTCTGTGGCCAGCTGGCTGCTGCTAAGTGGAGGAGTATGCACACAGTTTAAAAACAACACTGTTCCAGGGGGAGACTCCAATATATTCCCCCTAGGACAGCATGCTAGAGAAATACTATTCCCTGCAGATATTTACAGTCTCCCTTAAGTATCACTGTAGGCCAAAAGAACCTCAGACAACAGCATGACACTGAACATCCATGGCACAGTCACTAGCAAACCTGAGCAGGGAAGTCTGGCAGGCAGCAAGACAAGCCCAGAGGAAAACACAATAACCAGCTGAACTGATGAGTCACAGAAGGCAGTCGATGTGCTGACGTACATCCCACCAGCAAGTAGAAGCCCACATTTTTCTACAAAATGCTGTAGTCTGATGCTATCAGAGGAAACAATCATCAGCCACTCCTACCCATGACAAAACAGGCTTTTAACAAGGAGAGCCAAAGCTTCCTGTGACCAGAAGAAAAGAGAAAGTTGAGTAACCTTTATCCATATTCCTAGAAGTCAGACATTTGGATGCCCCAAGCAAGCATAAGGCTTTGTTTCTAATGGGATCTTTGTAAAAGAAGGCTTAAATGAACAGTAACTACACAAGTAACCATTAACAGGGACATTTGAGATGGGCTTTAACCCAAGTCCATTTTCAATTAGTATTTACAGTGATCATTTTCCTCGTCATTCCTAATAAAAAGCTTGCCTAGCAATAAGCCCATTTTGCAAAACCATCACCACAGTGGTTTTAATTTTCCTGCTAGTTCAGGAATTCTACCTTCACTTCCCCCCATCCCTTCTGTCCAAGCAATAGGAATAGGTGAACAAGGTAAAAAACACTATCAGGAATGAAACAAGCCAGATTAAGGCAAGAAGCAGCCAGATATACCAAGAGACAAGGATGTGCTGATTCCTGTGTACTCATTACTGACAAATGAGATAACAGGGAATAAGAAGAATCACACTAGCTGTGCCTCCAATCTCTATTTTGCTAGAATTCTTCCTAACTCCACTCCAGAGAAATCCTTTACCTGGCTTCTCTTTCTTGCAGCAAGACCCCAGTCTTCCCCTTCAGAAGAGAAGATCCTGTGTATCCTTAAGGAAATTCGGGACTCTGCACTGTAAGTCAGCTTCAACTTTGCCTTTAGAAAACCCTCGGAAGTTACACAGTTAGAAATAGTACACTCCTATCGGCAGTAGCCCGCAGACTTAAGTCCTGTCCTTTTCAACAGGTTGATCCTACTTAATCACAATGAAAAAGAGTCACACTTGCTATGCACCAGGCTGGAGCACAGAGATGGCAACATGGCATTTCGTTTGCCTTTTTACTGACAGTAAAGTAGAAACTAAACCCCGTTCCTCAAAAAAAACCAAAAAAACCAACCCTCAAAGCAAACAAAACCCACTAAAACTGGAAGCATTACTAAAGCAGTATTCTTTATTAATAGAAAAGTTGTGTGGGACCTTAGCACTCAGGAGAGGTTTCCAGCAGCCCTTCCCGGGGGAGATGCCACCTGCAGGTGCCGGGAAAGGGCTGAGCCCTGCAGTGTCGCGCTCGCAGTCCCTCTCGGTCCGGGCGGACAAGACACACGCGGGCTCCCGCTAAGCTACCGAGCGCGTCACGGCCGGCGCCGCGCTGCTCCCCCGGCCCGCGGGAGAGGAGGAGGAGGCGGCGGCAGCCCGGCCTGACTCACCGCGGGGGGAGCGAGC